GAATGTCAACAAGGAAACGATACTCGGTGTCCGTGGCCTTTTAAGATGATATGTATACCATTACAGTCTTCTTGGAAACACTGATTCCGAATCTGACTTCTGTTTCTGCTAATCGCTTCAAAATGTTATAATGGATCGCGCGGATTGTGGATGCCCGGTGAAATATGGTCGGAGCGCAAATGCTACCTATGCACTGTGGTCTAGTGGTTAGTGCGATAGCCCTGTGAGTTGATGCAGTTGCAAGTTCGAATCCTTTTGTGTTTTTCAGTTTTGCATTGCCTCAACTAACCTTCATTCGCATCATCAAGCAAGTGAACGCCCTTACTCTTGAAAAAATGTGGAAATTCGGAAAAAAAGATTACTATTTGCGCTAAATTGTAACCAATGATCATAGCTCAAGTAAATTTTCTCGAACAAGCTTAATTGAGGTAATGCAAAAGTAAAAACACAAAAGGGTTTGAACCTACACCTGCATCAACTTATAAGGCTATTGCATTAACCACCAGACCAAAAAGTGACCGCGGTACAGGCCGTTCCAATGACCATACTTCCCTTGAGCAGCCAAACTTAACTCGTAATTCTCCCATAACTTCTTCTTCTAACTTTCGGAGAAACGATTAGCAGAAACGGAAGGCAGATTCGGAATCAGCGTTCGAAGACGAGTGTAATGGTATGAATTACGTTTTGAAAGGCCACGGACATTGAGTATCGTTCCCTTGTAAGCAAAGTGACAACCAACAAAAAGGCTGTTTTGCTGTGATGTGGTAGACAGTTGCAGGGTACGCTGTGTTTTATCAACCCATTTTGCAAGCCATTCTTACTAAAAATAGTTAATGGATTGTGAGAGTGACCTAATGTTTTCTTAATTAAGGTTGCAGCACATAAGGAAGATTTCGCAAGGACGAGATTGATAAAGCATCAGGAGATGTTCCATGAATACATTATGACAATTTGTGGAAACGACAAAATATAGAGCGATAGGCATTACACAAGAAACGTTTTGTTGGGATTTCAACGTTCTTTAAGAGCGCCTGACAGAACGATGAGTACCTGTGAGTGCATAACGCCGCTTTAAAATTTTCGCGAAAAATCAGCTCTTAGGTTTCTTGTACAAATAAAGACACATCTCCAAAGAACATTTAAAGAAGATGCGCAGAACGGTCAATTCTAAGTTGACACCTCCTTGTAAGCTTGACCATAAAAGTCCGTTTTGTTTCGGTGCTTAGGGTGGCATAAATGCACTTGAGGTTGTTTTAAAGACTTAGTTCGTCCGTAGCAGAATCGGTGCAACTGTGGGCTGAAAGCTGCTCTAGAGCGATGCTGCAACATTTTCTTGTATTTTCACTGAGCAGGTAAGACAGTACTGCGAATTGTTTAAGATAAAACATCGGATATAACATCTCCATGCATCCACTGAAAGTCTGTAAATGGTTTTCTTCTGTAAAAACATTATACTGCAATATGTTCCCTATGAATTCACAATTCCTATGTTCGTGCTTCGAAAACTCATGTGCTCTTTCTCGATCAAAGAAAATCTCTCCTGGAGGCTTACCGGAATCACGTTTACGACCTCCATAAAAATTGAATGAGGGCCACAGAAAAGTTTCTTTAAAGGTTAAAAGAAAACCCTTATTGGCCTCTGTCTTCCCCACCCCCTCCGCGCTATTGCCTTCGGTTTCTTTTCTAAGAATTAGTATACTTAACCTGCTACTCAAAATCATATAAGGTTGTCCCACAAGTTCCATCCGTTTTGGTATACAATCGCAACAAGTTCACCTTTTTTACCTTATAAAAGTCTCAAAGCCCCATTCGATAAGTTTCTTGCTTTTTCGCCAACTTTGATCTACCACGAGTTTGAAGCCAAAAAAATGAAAGAGGTTCAATCGCCAGGGAAGTTTAGAGAAAAAGGTGACTCCGTTCAAAGCAATTCTACAAAAAATCTTAAATTGCTCATTTATACACCTTGCACATTTGACGTTTATATTAGGAGTCCGAACGTACGGTAGAGCTATCCTGAAACCACATAGCATAACGCTTTGAACGCTTTGAACGCTGCTCGGTGCAGGATATTCTTCTCTTAGCAGTTATGTATTGGTTTCGAGCCCTTCGGTCCTTGTCGAATAATTGTCAGAATCTTCAACCCAGAGTTTTTACCTAACCTAATTTTAGCTATTTTCTGCAATTCCCATTTCAAACTCTCGGAAGAGCTTTGACAACACTCGGATAGAGCAAACAAATAGCAACGCAATGCATCCCTTTCGACATCAGCTAGTTTTTCAAATTTTCAATTCATTTTCAGATTAATAAATTAAATATCTTTCCAATATCTTTAAATACCTGCTCTTCTAAAATTTTGCTAAATGAATTTCCAGTTGTTGAGTTTGGAAAAATTGCATGACCTATTATTGCACCGAACACTGAAAATTTTTGAAATATTGAGGTTCCGACTCGACCTTTACTCTTACTAGTCTCGCAAAATAATTGAGCAATTTTCGTCGCGAAGTGAGAAGATTTTGATACGGCAGAGTATAGTGTGTATCCCGGACAGCTTCCGCGGGCATTCCGCCCCGCACGCTCGCGCGTCGGGCTACCTTCCAGGCGCCCTTGGTTTTCATGCACTTCAAAATTTTCTGCTTCTTCTTCTTTCTTCGTTCTTTCTTCGTAATTTCCTATTCCAGGCAAGAAGGTCCACGACAATTGTTCACCTTTATATTTCGCTCCGCATCTGAATGAAATCCTTAACAAGCCATTCCAAACAATTATGGTAAAGTACACTTCTAACCACCTAGTCCTAGCATTTGCAAGAATGCTTTACACAATAAGAAGATGTAATCGCGAACGATCATATGTTCATCAATTGTGAGAACCTGAACGTGTAAAACTTTCCGTGTAAAAAACAAGAGTATCTATCACCTGCGAAAACGGTTCAACTGATTTAGAAGACATTTTATGATTTTCAGGCGCACTTGTGAAGACCAAATACTGCTGCTTTTGATATGCTTCCATTACCTCTCATTTTCTTAAATCGAGAAACCCTCTTGGGTTGGGTTGTAGACTTCCATCCTTGATTAGTGCCAACGGTTGCTCTGCTGCAGTGCGCGATCTCAAAGCAGGAATGGAAAAACATATCGTACGAATTTGAAATCTTCTGCGTACGGAGTACAATTCAGTTGACAGAAGTCCAAAATATTTTCGATAAATAAAGGGTCATTTTTACTATCGCATCACGATGTTAATGGTTGGTAAAAACAGATGGACGCTTGATCCGCCGTCAAACGCATCCTACACACTTTTGTCACAGAAGCCATTAATTTTGTCCCTCCCCTTTTGTGTATTAGGTCCTCCAAAAAAGTCGTTTTCTTCTGTCCATTTTCGCCCATATTTAAGGAGGAGAAAGCACAGATTGGAGTAGAAATTCTGTCGTACGATACCGAAATATGGCACGCTTTAGAACCGTTTTCGATTGCTGCGAGCTGGAATTATGAGCGCACTGCTTTACCGCCGGACTTGCGCCTTAACAATCCTTTGTATGGCTTGTATAAAATCAGGTCACTCCGGCATGTAAAAGTGAGTTGAGGGACAGGCTCGCGCAAGGTGGCCAATCAACTAGCGCTTGTGTTTTTTACTAATCTCCTCTTCGGTTTCGATTCGTCCCGGTTCTTGACGTTCGATAATCTTTTATTCCCATTCATGCTCTGAAAAAAGCGTCGAGCACAAAAACGTCAAAATTGAGCATTAAGGAATTTTTGCACTCTTGGTCACAAACAAAACTTACATTGACAAGTGTGCACCATGCCAAGACCTGAGAACAAAAAATAGTACGCTTGTTGTAAGATCATTCGTCTGCGCTCTGCTAAGGCTATTGATGGCACGTAAACCGTATTTGTCCCTCACTCTTTTTCTCACATTTATTTGAAAACTTAGTAAAAGTTATATTGAGAGCTTCTGTTATGCTAGATCTAGACTCGATAGGTCGGAAAACCCAACATTTGTGATTAAAGTTGACTGTTGATCGACGCCAAAACTAGAGCCAATGTTTCTGCCTTCTGTAGGACATTTCAAGCCTTCGCCTATCATAAATTTTCTAATAAAACAGCTCAATGTTTTCTTCGCTTTCATAAAAGCTCTTAAATGGCACTTTACGCTTGTTTTACGACAGATATCGAAGCATTTTACGGCGGAAATCGCAATATCAATTAAACACAAGCGAACGATATAAGAGAAAAACATTTTGTAACTCAAACAGATGTGTGTCGTTTGAGTATTTACTTTTCATTGATATTTACTTCTTGTCAAGTTCAAGTTTTGCCAAATTTTTTACGAATATCTGCTAGTTAACATAATTACGAAAAAGTTAGTAGCCAGCTGCACAACTTTTAATTTGGGTCAAATGCTTGTGAATAGTCAGTTCTTTAGAAGACTTACATTATTCACTCTCATACCATCCTGAGATTCGTTAGAGGCAGGGTCCGGGCAAAATTTCGAACAAAATATTTTTTGCTTACTTGGGCTTATCCTTCCCGCTGACCGAAAATACAACTTGCAGAGCACGAAAATGTCGCAAACGGCCTATTCCGGAGGCCCCCGTTTTTGAAGACGCTTGCCGCCGGGGTTAAGGCGCAGAGTCGTGATAGGACCCTACGCCTTGACCGTGTGCTGTATAGGCACTCTGGCTATCGATTGAGGGGGTGGCAGGCCGCCGGGGCGTCTAAGTCGCCACTTCTGAAGCGGTTTTCTCGCCAGAATGAAGCGACGCTACTTGGGCAAGAGTCTCATTAGGGTGGGAGCTGCAGCAAACTATGTTTTTCTTGTAGTCGTCAAACCTGCCTGTACGCTGCCTTTAAGGTCCCTCTTTCGTAAACAAGAAACGGAAAAAAGAGCATTCAGGCTTTCTTTTGGCAATCTGCTTGATGAAGATTGGATTAAAAATTCCTTTGTTTTCGTCTGCAATTTAGTAAGTGCTATGAAAAAGGAGACATGTATAGAGTCAAATTGCTTCAATGTTCAAAACTAGTCCTCGCTGGTGCCCAGAGGAATCGACTTTGTCGACAGAAAACAACGCAGAAAACCGGTTTGGCGTTTTTCTTGTTAAGCAGTAATTTTCAAGCTTCCTTTACATTTAAAGCGCAACTCTGAGCTTTTCCAAAGTTATCCATTTCGTTCTGTGTGCTCTGCTTACAGATAATTACCTGGGCTAGGCTGAGCGAGTGCAATTTACCTCCGAGGGCAATTCATTTAGGGGCGTGACTTCCATGAAGGTAATCAAAATTGAGCAAGTTGCTCTTATCCATACATTTTTGAACTCGGCACGAACGCGAATATTTTGAGACCAGATTTGATCGTAATTAATGGTAGATAGCAGTGGCGGACCGAGGGGAGTTCTTCCCCCTCTTCCCGCCCCCTCCCCGGTGGAGAATTGGAGTTTTCCTCGAAAGTAATTTACAGTTACAAGTTGTAAAAAGTGTGGGTGATGTGTACTTGTGAGCAATAAACTTTGTTTTCGAAAATTCAAGCTACTCTCTCGATAAATCTTTTGGGGGAACTCGGGGGGATTATGGGCGCAATTCTGAGAATCACTTTAAAAAATTTGGGGAGTCGCGTTCATTATAAAGAAGTTTTTGTCCCCGCCCCCTCACTAGCAAAATTCTGGCACCGCTATTGGTATTAGTCACTCAAATCAGCGGAGTTTTCGCTGTCAAATATATGAAGTGTAATAATATGAAGAGAAAAGTTAAATCTTTCTTGAAATAGAAAACCTGATATTCATAGAAACATTTAGATTAGTGCTCAAACTTAATTTCAAGCATAGAAAGTTCCTAGGTGCAGTGAGTGAAAGTTTTAGAGAAGGATGCACCTCAGGTGATTAGACATATATCAATAATATTGAATTCTTCTGCTCTATACACAACAAAATTTCCCATGGCCTATCCGGTGGAAACCAAGTGTTTTGTTATTGTAAGTTAAGGAGCTGTAAGATTTATTGAAACGAACCTGATTATGAACCGGGGAGAGCAAATCTGATACAGTCTGAGGCTCATCATTCAGGTAGTAAGGCGTAGCTGTACCAAGATATGTATATAGTTTGCACAAACCAAGATAAATAGTTTCCCCGCTGCTGCCTTTCGACCGTTTTGACGCGTTCACTTTGAGAAAATGCCTCAAATTTGCTAAAGTTAACATGTTAAAAAGAGCGAAAGGCAGCGAGCTGACGTGGTACCTATGTGAACATTTCTGTGGGACAGACGTTGCATATGTGAAAGAGGATCCTGAGGTTTTTCGCGGCTTCTTAAGTTAGGTGCCACCTGCTAGTGGTTCGATGCTTAAATGATGCCACCATGCTAGTGATTCGAGACTCAAATATATAGGGCATTCGAGTCGTGACGATGGCGAGACCGCGCGCTAACGCACGCATTTCCGGCAACCACATTTTCTTGGTTTTCATCTCTTTTCAAATGGTTTTCTGCTTACGTATGATGCATAGACATACAGTACACAGACACTTGAAGAGAGTGAGCTAAGCGTTGAGGTGATGCCTTTTTGTACGAGTGTTTTATGATCCTGTGAGCGTTTAGACCGCAGTCAAATCTGTCGCCACGATTTTATAAATGACCTATAAGCAGTAGGGAATATAGCCTGTGGGAATAACCGTAAGCTATTACGACTATGAAGCTGTTGAGGCTAATAATACATTAATCATCAACAGCCCATTTTAGAGCGCAAATAGGCTCGCTGAGTGTTAGGCCGAAAATGGTTTCAGTAAAACGCAAGTGGGTATCGTTAATACAAGTTTGCATGCGCATGCGCACCCTTCAAAATTGCTGTGGCATGCACAAACACATCTTGCTCATTACGTCATTCAAAAAACCAAACCCCCTTGCATTGTGTACTAAACAACTGCCTTGCTTACAGCGGCATAACGACGTAAAAGTGGTATACAAAGGTAATGGAGCAAGCTACAAAGAACTGTGAAATTATGTGACTGAGCTTTGGCAAGCTTTTTCTCCAAAAACTCTCGCATTACTCAGAAGTGAAAAAGTGACTCGTACACTGTTCACACGAGTAAAATGCGGGTCACAAAGCAACCTGGGAAAGGTAAAATTTTGACCTGTAGCTATGTGTAGCAAAGAATGCTGTTGTGAAGATCTCTTAGAATCAGGTCAATAAGACAATTGCAAGCCAGGTCCGAGAATGTAAAAGTATTGTTCGTATGTAGGAAAGCTTATATCTGCACTGCATCTTTCTTTCTGTTCGACAATGGTTTTGTCTTTCTACTTTGCTACATTCTCACCTTTTACCGATCGCTTTGAATTCTTTGGCAGCGAGCCGTTGAAAATGCTCGTTGGCTCCAAGTTACGGTATGATTAAAATAGTAGTACAGTTGAAGTACACTAAATAACATTGAGCATAAGTAATGACACTTATGTAGAGCATTTGGAGAGCAGTAAATAATATTGAGCGGAAGTAATGACGCTTATGTTGTTCGATTTGAAAGCATGTTGTCTCTCGCGTGCATATTGGATCAGTAATGTAGCCAAAAATAAGTTCATGTGAAAAGAAGATAGGAAGAAAATATGATTTCGTTCTGTGCCACCAAAGTCTGTCACAAGGCCGCTTGATTTGCAAAAAGAAGTTTATCACCTGAGAACTACACAAACTGATTATCATGATTTTTGTTCATTGTTTATACTCGCCATTACGCAGCAAATTTGGTTCCATATCGCGTATGCATTGCAAACAAGTCGTTGATTCAGTGATCAGTGGTGAAAATTTTCCAAAAAAACCTTTAATTCTTCATACACGTAAGTTTCGCTAACTTCTACGCGTTTGAATTTATGCAAATGTTGCGAATCTGAAAAGGTTCTGGAATTTCGTCTCTCCTCGGGCCCTCTACGGCATCCCCTACATCCAGTGTACTGCCGAACCTGAACTAAAGTCACAAAGGTAATCTCACGAATACCATCAACTACTGGACTACGACTCGGAGCTTCGCTTCCAAAAAAGTATAATGATCAGCATTTAATTTTGACCTACAAACTGGTAAAAGTCCGATTTGGCAAGTCACATCGGAGTTCGCAGAACTGCTGTTCCTATGGTCATGACTTGAGATAACAAGCTTCTTTTCATTTCAGAATGAGGTGGGCCCTTATTGGCCTTCTCCTTCTCAACACTCTTGGCACAGTGATCAGTCAATGTGCAGTGATGGATAAAAAAACTTTGACTGCTCGGTGTCATGCCGTAAGGCCTTGTATCACTTATTGTGAAAAGAAGGTGAAGCCTATTCTTTCACCGTTTATTTCACTGATGCTCTCAGAATTTTTACGGTGGGAAAACCTGATCCTTTCAGGGCCACATGCAAGAGCATCCCCGCTGGAGAGAAAATGCAGCTCAAAAAAACTCCATTTTCTGAAGTTTACATTCGCAAGCGTTTTTACCACCCTTTTACTATAAGCATATTGAACAGAAGCGAGAAGTTGTATAAGCTGCATTTTCCAACTTTTTGTATGATCCCTTATGAACCCCCGCGACTGAGCGTGTTTTCTTAAAAGTCAGTTTTTTTTGAGTTAATGAAAACATTGCAAAATTGTACTGATTATCTAACCCAAAGTACTCATCATGTTTTTGAAAAAACAACTGATGCTTCTAAATCATGAAACTACGATGCTACGGATCGAAAATTAAGGTTTATCGAAAATCTCAATATTATGACTCGATCGTTCTTATTAGAGACATGTTCAGTACTTCTGGATCAGGTAATCAGGACAACTCTGGAATGTTTGCATTGACTTGAATGAAGAAAAATGACTTTGGACAAAAGGTCGGCCCTGTGAATCATTAAGGGATCATACAATAGACTGCAGAATGTGGCTGGTACAACTTCTCGCCCCTCTTCAATGTGATTATTATATGGGGTGATATAAACACTTGCGGATGAATAAATAGCGAGAAATCCCGTTGTCTGGAGCTTCAAAATATGGTGCTTTCTCATACGTTGTGTTCCCCTCCCCAGCGGGAATGTTAATGCATGCGGCTGTTGAGCCCAAGAAACGTCCCTGCAGCGTCTTCGCATATGTTTTTTTGATTTTATATGATTTTCAGAGTCTCTGAAAAAGTAGTTTGTGAAACTGATTTCTACCTGTGATCATGTTTACAAAATCAGAATTCTAAGACCCACACAAGGTTGTTTACAAAATTTTGTCAAGCTTTCAGTCGAACACTAACTAACAGTACGCTGACCGTCAAACGACTTGCAAATTGCCCCAGATCCTTCTCAAAGCCAAATTATCTCTATGACCCATGCAATTAGCAAAATGTTATCCTTATTTTTTTCGAGAGATCTTATTGTTTGAGTCACGTCATAAATGTAGAGAAATTTTATTCTGGCATTTCAAATAAAAGCTGGTAGCATTATGTTGAACCTATCAACATAGTTCTGATAACTAGTTTACCCAGATCAAGTTTTCATGTCTCCAACAGTAGTCACTCACTTGAGAAAAACGCCAATTTTCCAAGCACATGTAGCGCGAAGACCCACCGATTCAAAGCTGATTCTTGAAAACAGACTTGATTATCTTCATCAATAATGCCAAAGCCTTGATGCATAAATGAAAATAAGTTTCAATTCGCAAAAAAGTTGAAAGCTTCAACAATGCAGCTGTAGTTGTGCTTCGTATCATCAAAATTGAGGTCTTTGAAGAAATAATCTTACGCACTTAAACAACGGATTGTAAAGATCATAAAGCGCCACATAGCCCGAGCACCGCTCTATTGTCTAATAACCAATCTTTTCGGAATGGAACAATTTGAAAATCTGCCAAACCTTTAGCGAGAAGAAGTGAGGGGTGGAGAATTTCGGCACTCATCTCGAAGCCTTCGAAAGAACATGATCCAAAATCAAAAGCAAAAGAGGAAACAGTTGCATGAATAGCGTGTTTCCACGCTCCCGAGTCATCATATGATTGTCAAAAGACCAAAAAACCGTAAACCTATAGTTGTAGCATGGCAGTAATTCGAGATGTGAAAAGTTGGTGAAGAGCGTTCAATTTTTATTGCAGGCTAAGAGTGACTTGAGGTTTAAATTGAATTTACAATTGGCAAATGCAGAATTTTGATGACTTATATGAGTTGAGTTTTCTATGTGATTATTTGTGACTTTTCAGAAATGTCGCCCTGGTGTTTGCATAAAAAAGGTGAATGTGAACGGTAAAACAGAAACGCGAAAGTATTGCAAATGTTATTGTGAACCCCTTGAGCCTGGCACAACGAAACGCCCGTAATCTCCTGCCGTAAACCCCACTTCGAGGTAAATGAACAATAAATTCACATTGGATGTTTCAACCTTGCTGACCTTTATAGGGCTCATTTGGCATGAGCAGCATCTCTGAACAATGACATTATTCGAGATCATATGTTGTACCAATTGTTGATTCTGCTGTGCCGTGATAATAGCCAAACATTTTACTCTTCCGTACTTGAGTTTTTGAAGCGAATAAATATGAAATCAGCTGCAGTAGTTGGGAAAAAGTGGGGACTCACTGCCGTGCATAAAGCCGGTCAAAAGGTATAAAGATCGCATTTCTCGACGACTCGCAACATTTTTTTTGAGTGTCATGCAAGACTTCGGAAAAATGACAGAGTGATTGCTTCACAATAAAGAGGATCATTTTGCATAATGGTTAATGTTGCGGAGAGTCAAATTGAAAAACTGTTTTTAGATGCATTTTAAAGTCTCACCTTCAACAAGCATCTGGCAACGTTATATTAGGTTGTTTCCAGAACTTTGGATCCATTTGCAGTGTATGGTTGAATTTGACAAGCGTTTTAAGATGATGTCGAAGGAAATCCAAGCTTTTCGATGGTTCTTTCTTTTATCGGATGTCAAATTAAGATTTGGTACGTTAAAGAGAAAGATTCTACAAAGAAAACACAAATACCCTATTTTCCGAAGTATAAGGCTCACCTATTTATAAGGCGCAGCTGCCGCGCGAACGTTAACGCGAGAGTTGCGCCTTTGGTTTGGGCTTGGGTTGGGCTGTATTTTAACGGTCTACTTATTTATATTAGGTCGTTCCGAAAGTTCTTTCCGTTTTTTCAACATATCATAAAAACACGTGGAACGAAGAAAGGGAAACGCTTTAGGCACTGTCTGACGCAGCTTTTCTTCCTCTTTTCAACTATCATATTCTTGTGCCGCTCGCTCTTGTGGTCAGTGAGATAATGGCCGAAATTTCGGACCCATGGTTTTTACCATGTCCAAGTTTGGCAATTTTTCACCATCTTCTTTTTTGACTTTTGGAAAAGCTTTGATAGCAGTCGGATAGAGTAAACAAAGTGCAAAGCAACGTAATTTTTTGGCAATTTCAGCTGGCTTGTCATTATTTTTTGAGATAACTTTTTCAGAAGTCTTCACTTCTTCAGAGTCACAAAACACACAAACGCTCTGAACATCAACAAATCTTCGGTTTTCGAAACTTTTAAAAGTCGTTTATGATTGACACTATTTTTACAAAGTAACTGAGCGTTTACCGCTTCGAAATATAAGATTTCGCAATTCACGGGCACATCATGAGGCGGGTTCAAAATCAAGATTTATGAAGATCTCATTTTCAAAGACCCCACAAACTATGAAGAAAGAGCACTCATCAGAAAGACGAGAAAAAGCTGCATCGAACGACACCTTAGTTGTGCGCCGTTTTATGTTCTATGGCTTCTGGCATTACCAAAAGTGAAATTTGATAGCATTAGAAAAATAATTCTAAAAATGTTTTGAAATTAGCTATAGATGCCGAAAAATTGCATGATATTGCACTCTGTTTACTCTATCTGACTGCTATCAAAGCTTTTCCAAAAGTCAAAAAAGAAGATGGTGAAAAATTGCCAAACTTGGACATGGTAAAAACCATGGGTCCGAAATTTCGGCCATTATCTCACTGACCACAAGAGCGAGCGGCACATGAATATGATAGTTGAAAAGAGGAAGAAAAGCTGCGTCAGACAGTGCCGGAAGCGTTTCCCTTTCTTCATTCCACGTGTTTTTATGATTTGTTGAAAAAACGGAAAGAACTTTCGGAACGACCTAATATTTTACCGGAGATTGCCAAATGGGTGCTTCAAAGTCAGGATGTCGAGGCTTTCAGTCATCAGAAAAGTTTAGCAAAAATCTAACTAGACATAGACATAGAGCAGCCAAATGAATGTAATCTGTACACTGTAGCAGTAGATTTTCACCAGAATTCCACTTGGTGGGAGACGAGGGGGGGGAAGTTTTTTTGTAATGAAGGTGGTACTTAGCGTTGACCATGTACTCTAAGAATTCATTGGCATGCTTCTAATTTTTTGGAGGTCCGTAATTCGAGGCGTCTGTAACTCGAGGCGGCAACCTCTCCCAAAGGAATTTTTTTTACAAAACTAACTTGGAACCTCTAGAAATAAAAAATATTCTAATTTTTTCAAATTTGAACAAAGTCACTAGACTTTTGAACTAGTCATTTGCACTCTTTTTTAACTCATGTAATAACTTACAAATTCGCACGCACTCTTAGGGCGAAACGCTCCTTTCCCCTCTCCCCTCCCACCGTCGGTCCGTCACTTCGTCGCAGCACCATACTCGACATACGCGTAAACACAAAGTCTGCGCAATTTTATGGTTCGTACAGACTTTTTTTCCCTACCACTTTCGAAGGGAGAGGAAAGGGGCATTACCCTTGGTCCGCCATTCATATACAAGCGCATATATGTTCTACGTCAAGTCTAATATCGTCAGTAATCACTCTTACGAATTTCAGGACTACGGTCCATTGTTGTATGGAACTCTCACCTTGAGCAGCAGGAGGAGCGCTCATCGGCAATGGGCTAGCATTCCTTTTTGGTTGATTAGAGATCAATAGCATGTTTACGAAAGAAAAGTGAGCGTTAAATTCAAGTATGCGCTTTCTGTGTAAATGCCACTACCGACTGCTATGACTACTTCCAATTTCCAACTCCATCGAAAACTGAGAGTAACATCTCACTTTCTACTCTGTAGTGTTTTTCGCTTGGCAATTTGCTGGCGATTTGCTTTTTGTAACACACACTCATATTAATCTTCAGGACTACGGTGACCCTTTGTGAATATGTAGCCATCCTTTCGTTGAATGTTGATTGAATGACTTTGGATAAACGTTTCAACTTTGCCTGCCGAGATATCCACATTTTGACATTTATTTTATGCAGACAAGCTGATTAGGTCGTTTACTTCCTCGCGTTTATGGAAGGCTACCACAATTTCAAGAGAGTGCAAGTCAACATTCGCAGGTAGTATGATGTTAGACACGATTTTGCGACTTTCGAAGTGATTAGAATTGCAGTACTTGGTTGAATCGGATTCTGAGCCAAGTTAACGCACACGTGTATTATCGTCACGATAGATCGATCATATCTTGCCGCCACGTGACTTCCAATTGCTACAATTACTCATATTCTTCCGTATGCGCATGCTCTTTCAAGATCTGGCATGTAAGCATAAGCTCAGAAAAGCCATGCGCCTACGCTCTTGAATTCCGCAAGCGGTAGATTTGCGGACAATTGGCAAATTACCAGATCGCGTATCGCTGCAATCTTTGAGAAGTCGCGCCAGGAGGTTTTAGACTATAAGAAGAGCCCTGTATCTTTAGTGAAGCCGTTAAGGAGTGTTTCTGGTAGGAAGAGGAGGCCAAGTTTCACAGGTAATTGCTGTCTGCAGACCGCGGTTGAAGTTAGAGAGGGAACAAAGGATTCAAAAAAGGACAATAAGGCTTATATGTTTGAATATCTCTTCGGCAAGGTTAGCGGCGTTCCCAATGATGAAAAAGCAGCCGAGCTTGCCCGCGGCTTCTTCATATCGTACGCCGCTTCCTCTCGGGGATTTGGATGCGTAGGGACCCAAGTATGACAAGGTATAATATAAGTACTTATTGCTTTGGTTTTGAGATGTCATCGAACACCCTTTTTGTGGGAAAGCTCTTTTTCCTGCACAGCACAAAGCTTGGGACATAAACAACCAAAATGCGTTTACTCCAGCTTTTCTAAGAATGAGATATGAGAGATTTTATCTAGCTACAACATTAGCTGTAAATGCGTGTCCATTTCGTTACTTAATCTGAGAAGAAGAAGAATGCTTTCAAGAAATTCACAACCTCTTTTTAACCTTTGAAAAGGTGATGTTTTGATGAAACACGCATAAGCACACTTAATCACAGTGTTTTTGAATCTGTTGCTAATTAAGGACGTTATGATTTCACAGTTTACTATCCCACTCAGATCAGCCGTGGGTCGCAGAAGCAAGACCTCTCAAAGGTGAAGCTCCACTGTCAAGACATTAGCAGTCAATGTATTATTAGAACATAAGAATTCGGCAATGACTGTCTCTTTTTCTTTTTTTTCTTTTTTTTCTGATAGGCTCATGCCTCCTCTAAGCAGCAGCCTCACCTGAATGTATTCGAATATTCATCCGCAAATAAAGGCGAGCAGACGTGGGAAAATGACCAGAGGAACATGTTCGCAAACGCGCATCTTCCAAGTTTCTGCAAGCGGACAGCAAAAAAATCAGCAAACTATTTTTCCGATGCCCGCTTGCCCAAAAATTGCATGGCCACTTGCCCCCAGCGATTATCTGAGCAGGGGGCAGGCGGCCATGTAATTTTAGTTGCAATTCTCAATCGTAACTGCGTTTTTTCAATTCTGCCTGAACTGTGACTACATCACTTGCGAAATTTTAAACTTGTCATAAGTCGTGTAACAAAATCAAAGTGCATGAAGTTTCTGCCACCTCTCCACTTTTTTTGGAAATTTTTAAACGTCATATTTCTCAGTGGAATTATGTCAGGAATTTTCCACCGTGATTCTGCAATAGTGATGAGCTATTATCAATGATCAGGTTAATGCAAATCCAGGCTGAAGCAGCAATAAAATGGTATCTAGAGCGACAAAGCATAACTCGAATTTTCAGAAAACAATGGCAAGTCGGATAATGCTTCTTGGTTCTAACTCCCGCATTTTTTCTCCTCCACCAAAGTATCTCAAAGGCAAAAGCTAAAGGTATCGTCTATTCGTTGACTGCACGGACTGCTCAAACGCGAATGACCAGAGGAACATGTTCGCAAACGCGCCAATACTGAGTGCCCTTACAATCTTTAATTTCCAAACACATGACTATAAACAAAATCAGAAAACAGAAGGGCACAACTCTGAAAGGCAATGTTGCTTGAAGCCATGGCATTTACACGATGTTCGGTTCCTCCCACTAATCACTTTTCGCAGTACGTCCCTCGAGAAGTCTAGGTTTTTTATTGGGTTTTCTTCCGCCGCCGAGAAAAGAGCTATCTCAGTTGATCACGCAAAGCTCACTCTCACCCAATCTACCACAACATCCGAGGAGTAAGCTGATGCCAAGAAAAATAAACAAAAGGGAGATTCTAATGCAACAATGATGCAAGCCTCAAATACTCCTTTTTGCTTTTTTGTATTGTATTATTTTGTGTTGTTATTAATCGATTCTAAGTCTTTTGATCTCATTGTTCAGCATTCGATTTGTAATAAAATCATGGCTTCTGCATTTGGCTTCGCCCACTTACCGCTCTTTGCGACACACCGAGCGAGGCTGCGATACTGGATTGAGACAGAGAGCTCTTATACGAGCAAACAGACGTAAAAATGGGCGTTGCATTTACATAAGAATGAATTTTATAAATTTAATACGCATTTTTCCTGCTTGAGCATATTCAAATGGTCTCTTAAGAAGCCTACAAATTTACCATCGATTCCATTCGTGTAGAGGTGGGGTTTTGTCAACTCAATGCGTGGCGATTTTGATAGCGAAAGAGTACGGAAAACAATGCTATGACGTGAAGTTTAACAAGTTTATCCTCAAAATCAAGGAAAGTCCGCAACCCGCCTCTACACGAATCGTGGAGACGATCATATGTTGATCATTAAGTTAACTCATGATTAATCTTGCAAAAGCTTTCCGTCATATAAGAAACTAGCTGGCTTACCCAGCCCAGCTCTACCTGTCAGAACTCTATGATAAAGGTTCCATCCCCATCCCTGTACAACCTTTTCCTGTGCACACTCCAGGCCGTTCCCTATTCCCGCTGGGTTAGTAATCAGCATGCTCACTTATCCCCTGCGCCAACTCCCAGCCCCTTAGCTCAAATTTTGCAAAAAAAAATCTATAAATTCGATAAAAGTAACGGATAACTTTGAAAACTAACATTGTATCCGTAACAGCGTGCTCGGTCAATCCCTGTGCCAACTCTCAGGGGTCAAACTTTACAAAAAATCGATAAAAAATTAATAAAATCGATTCGATAACGAAACCTACACCACTCACCCCCGCCCCGAGGTGTATGTGTGCAAAGTTTGGTCCGGACCGGTTCAAAAATGGAATTTTCTATCAGGAGCGTACGTACACACAGACACACAGACGTGCAGACGTACAGACAAATAGACATTCAGCTTTGTGTTTTAGGAAATATGCTATTTTCATGCAAAATAATCCGTCGTAATTTATCAGTTTTTCGCGTTTGATTTTCCATCTACAACTAAACGATCTCAGATGATCGCCGGGGGCAGGCTGTCCGCAAACTCGCGCTTTTCTGCAAGCGGTCAGCAAGATTTTGGAGCGTGGTCAAACCTTCAGCGGGCGGCACTTCCTTCCGCATATTCTGCCAGCGTGCAGCAATACAGCATTTTTTGCAAGCGCCCAGCAAATCATTCCTTTCAGCGAGCGTTGGCCAAACTTTCAGCAAGCGCTGGGTCTCTTTTTTACTCACAATCAGTTTCGGGCGTACAGACTCTATGCGGCAAAGGTGTCATCGATGGTTTGATTACCCAAGTTTGGGATACCTTCTTTCAACGGAAGGTACCCTGGGCAGTGCGGTCCTTCACAATGAACCGTGCGGCCCCCAATAATCTTGTATATTCTCGCGGAAGTCCGCGAGAATGCGGCCACTGGGTCACAACTTATCCACAAAAAGACCGCGGTAGTTCTCCGAGCGCTCGTCTAAAAATTGGCCAAAATTATCCCAAATTTCTGCAAGCGGATATAAAATCAGGAACTATTTTTCCGGTGCCCGCTTGCTCAAAAATTGCATGGCCGCATGCCCCCGGCGATTATCTGAGGATATGTGTAGAGTTTGGAAGGCCGTTCAACGCGCCGCTATGACCAAGTGAGATCCGTGAATTGATTTCCGCCCTTGATCCAGTCATTGTGCTTTTTATTTGAGGGTCGTGAGATACGAGAGTAATTCGCAAGGATCGAAACGCTGACTTACGTTTATTAACCAAGAGATGCATATAACTGTAATTGTTCGCACGCATTCAGAAACTCTTTGACTTTGACGTACGGTGCTTAAAGGCAGCAGTGGCTCGGCAAATCCTCGACTTGAAGTTTTTTCGCTTACCTGGTGTAATTGCAGAATCCAAAAAACCACCTCGAAGAGCGCAAAAACGCGAAAACCAGCATTTTCCAAAACCTCTTATTTTGAATCTAGACAATTGAACGGTTCCCGCCATTGTTAGAGAGGCAGAGTCGTTGCGGAACCCTCATAGTTTCAACATTGCGGCATGCCTCCTCTAATGATGAAAGGAGAATCGCTCGTGAGCGCGTGTAAGAGTACCTTGCGCGTACGGGTTTAGGGGCAGATTTCTACACAGAGCAGCATGCCGTGTGCTCGGACCTGCTTAGTCCCCATGTTTGGGGTGCAAGCAATCTTCCATATTGAAATTTCGAGATGTTCGATTTTTCCGAGCCACTGCCTTTAAGACGAATGCATACAAATGATAATAGAGAAACAGAATTCTTAATTCTTACTTTCTGTGTAAAAGTTCACTTTATACAATTACTTCATAAAGAATACCTTTCTTATGACTAGAAAAAGTAATCAAAGTTAGAAAATTTATTTCAGCATTTCAGTCGACAGTGCACTGAAAGATCCACAAGTCAGGAAAGATTGCAGAAGCTTGTGTGGTTTCAAAATAAATTATGACCCTTCGTCATATTTTCAAGACCTAAGAGGCCAAAAAAGCCAGCAGCTGTAAGAACTGAAAGAAAAGTTAGAAATTCGCATTGCTGAATTCGTAGTGTTTGCGCACATGGTCCGAGCGGTAACAGCTTGGCTTCCATATCAGCAGGGGTAAGTTTGCGTACGGACTCCACAGCAGTGATATTCTCTCCTTTATAATCCACCGAAGACGCTTGACCAAGAAGAAGAAATACCAGTGTCATATGTCGAAGCATGTCTGAATGAGTGATTCAGTGAACTGCAGCAAAACACATCGTTGAAATTTGCTGTGAGTGTAGAAGCAAAGTAAGGCTTATTGTATCGAGTTGTTAATCTCTTACTCGCTCTTCTGCGATGTTTCGAGTTTCAGGCTTCTGAAAATACAAAACAGTTTAGGTTGATGCAAAAATAATGAGCGTTCCTTATGCGACAGCCGCGGTGCTACCGCCAGAACGCGTGAAGCATACTCATGGGTCAGGCACAGGGTGACACGCCATACGTAGGAGTCGTATTGAAAGGTCAAACTAGGAAGGAGGTCGTGATTGAGGGATTATCCATAACAAGATTTGTTAAGAATGTCAGTTAAGCACATTATGCAAAACACAAGCACAATGAGATATTCACCCAGCATCGCATACGTAGGCAGTATAGGAAAGCCTTTGCAAACGTATGGATATCATTTTCGTACTGGCATGTCAAATAAACTTTGTGACAAATTTCAGTGAATTCTGAGGTTTTCAAATATTGGGCCACCCAAGCGAAATGATTTTCCGGACATGAACAACTTTCTTTCAAAGGTGAGTTAGATATTTATTTTGCACTCAGTATAAAGTACCGTTTCTTCGCCCACATGGGAAATCCCAGTACAAACAAAAGCCAAACTATGGAATTGTAGCCTGCCGATCTCGTTGATTCAACTTTCGCTTACGATGGCTGTGCTTTTTGCAAGTATTACTCACAGTAAACAAGACGAGTCTGGCTGAAGTTACTCCAAAACGTAAGAGTCCCATCGAAGGGAAAACAACTATTTCTCTCTTATAGTGACGATTTCGCAAGAGATGTCTGTTGTGAGGAGAAAAAGCTCTAGTGGTTCAAACATAAAACCTAAATGAATGAACGCTCTGAGGGTAAGCTGATGGATTGTAGCCAGGGTCAAGCGAGTTGATAAGATCCTAGGCCTTTTACGACCCTTCCGCCCCCTGAAGTACCCATCGTACAACCCCCCCCCCCCCCACATACCCCTCCCCCACCTACAGCATGGAAACGGTTCACTTCAGTCATTATAATTGACTATTCTATAATAAATCATTTTCTGGGACAGATAATAAACTCTTCTGCCGTTTACGAATATTCGGCATAATTCATTCATGTTTCAGTGGTGCCGAAAGATAGTGAAAATGGTTCCGGAAATTAGAACATTTTAGAATGTAACTAGCTGGCAAACCCGGCTCCGCCCGGCCCTGTCATTATTATATTCGTAATCAGCATGCTCGATTACCCCCCTGTGCCAACTCCCAGCCCCGTAGCTCAAATTTTGCAAAAAATCGATGAAATCGATGTCGATCGATAACGAAAAGTAGCCTATGACACGCTCCCTGCCCCGAAGTATATGTGTGCCAAGTTTGGTCCAAATCGGTTCAGAAATAAAAATTTCTATTCCGCACATACGTACAGACAGACATACAGACATACAGACATTCAGCTTTATAGATAAGATGATAGTCTCGTGTTTCGTCTTTAAGCGACACTGATTTTTTACAGGAACGAAACGACATCTTTGAAGCGTAAAATATGTTTTCGACTAAAAAGCTTATTTCCTACCTTTTGCACATATGTTCTAAATAAACACTGAGCGCCATCCATAACGATGTCAAAAACGTGTATGAGCACGGTACTTTGAAAATTCGTAACTAAAGTCAGGAAAAGATCAAAAGGCTCTAGTGAACAGGTTTTGTAGTAAAGTGCCCAAACAATTGGCAATAAGCTCAAAAAAATTTAAATGCGACTCTAGCAAATTTAGATGCGATCCTAGATGGCAAAAACCGGATTTTTGAGCTAGAAATCCTTAACTCACTGGAGACGCAACGGAACAGCCCGAAATTTTAAGGAAAGAAAGTAGAAGGATGGCGTCGTAATACAGCAAAATTGTAGCGAGCAGGTTTCCATAGCGGCGAAAAAATTTAGATGCGACTTAGATAGGACCCCTTTTTTCATTCTTTGTTGTCATTTATAAAATTTTTAAAAAACCGCACGCTATGAAATACATATAACCAGATTTCGCACAAATGTAGCAGAGCACCTTCAAAGTATATATAAATTGCATGGGCCCTTGAAAGACATAATAAAAAGTTTTAAAAATTATCGATGGTCACGCTGGTAGAAATGAACGCTTTTGTCGAGAATGTGAGACTTCAGTGATGCTTCGGAACCAGGATTTTTAAAGCAGTTGGTACATTTAACATTCGCTTGCGTCTGAAAGTGTCTTTGGAATCTTCGGTGATTCTTGTCCCGTTGCGACAGTCGCATCACACGCTTTGTGGCTGATGGAGGCACAACCTCAAGAAGAGTGTGGCAGCCACAGTAACTTACCCTTCGAAAAACTTTTGGCGAAAAGTATGCGATAGCCTGTTTCTTAATTTTCACGGATGTGATGTAAACCTGATATGCCTTCTTTACTCAGGTGTGGTTGCTAAAAGCAAAACCAACGAAAGTGAAAAGCGCTGAGCAAGAGTTTGGCTAGAGTTTGGCTGACCTCTAATTCCATTGTTTGTAGGTTGATTGAAGTGTGAAATCTAGCGAATACTAAGAGAATGAGTGCAGAAAATTGTCGAACTCATCTTCAAAACAAGTTTTGTTTGAATGACGATGTCTGCAAGGTAAAAGCATTCAGAAACTCAAAAATCGCTGAAACTTGGTCTACGGAAGTTGTTTCACGTGCTGATAAAAAAGTGATATCTATTAGGTCGGTCCGAAAGTTCTTGCGCATCATTTTCAAAAAATCATAACTTCCTTGACACTCGATGGATTTCGTTGGGATTACATGTATTCGAAAGAGGAATCCATGCTCTTTACAGCAGTACCTCCGGCATGAATTACTCTGGAAAACTTCAAGAGTTAGAAGCAGTTGAATAAAATCAGTCAAGATTGGCATTTTTCGAGCTGGGTCACGAAAAATTCTGAAAGTATTTTTATTTGATAGAGAAAATTATGCTCATTACAATGGTATCTTTTTCATGAATTAAAACGAAGTAGATCGAGAGTTAGAAGGAAATAAAGAGAATTTCTTCAGTTTTGCAATTTTTGAGCATGCTCAAAAAAGCCTAAAAACGTCACAGAAAAGGCGGGAAAGTGATGAGCATGGGTTTTATGACCTTCTCTTTCTAGCTGAATGAAAATTGTGCTAATCGAAAGCAATTTTGATTTTCGTGAAAAACGCAGGCACGAAAATCCGAAAAAATCACGAAAAGCAAAATTGCTCCCGATTGGCATGATTTTCGCTCATCTAGAAAGAGAATGTCACAAAACCCATGTTTGTGGCTTTTCCGCCTTTTCTGTGACGTTTTAAGGCTTTTTTGAGCATGCTCAAAAATTGCAAAACTGAAGATATTCTGTTTATTTGCTCCTAAGGCCCGTATGCACGTACATCCCCGCTGGGGAGGGGAGGGGAGCTGGATCCCCAGGGGAACGATCCCCTCCGCCGAACCCCGCCATGACAGAGGGGAGGGGAGCGATCCCCTCCCCTGCACCTAAGCGGGGATGATGTGAATGGTTTCAGAGGTATTGATCGAGCGAACCCCAGTGCATACGGGGTTCGAATGGGGGAGGGGATCCCTTCCCTTCCCCCACTCGAACCCCGTATGCGCGAATTCAACTCAATAACGCGGGGGAGGGGATCGACATCCCCTGCAACAAAGTAGGGGTTCGATGGTGTAGATCATGCCAGAGACGCGGATATTCTGGTTCTGCTCAGTCATTACCAAGCATTTCGTTCATTTTGACGGAGGATTTTCTTTGAAAGCCGGGTTGTTCTCTCAGCGACCTGTGGCTTGCAATTTGTCTTTCTTTTCTATATTCGCCTCTTGAGAAGGAATCCGAGCAATAATAGCAGCCATTTTCGATTATTGGAGTTCTTGATCATTCAGAAAATTTGCGCATTTTTCATATAACATAATAGTTTTAACTATATAGGCTGAGTAAACACTTTGTAACTTTCATATTTCATGACATGTTGCCATTATCTTGTTATTTTAACATAAGCTGCCTCGAAAAAATCTAGAAAGTAGCACATTTGCCTATTTCTGAGTAGAAATCCCCTGGGGAGTGATCCCCTCCCCAGCGTTCCCCTTGTGCATAGCAGGGATGGCCGCTGGGGATCATTCCCCTGGGATGAAGGACGATATGCTGCTGATAGCTACAGCGTTTATGGAGAACTGGCACAATTTGCCGCTTCTGTTATGTGTTAAAATACTGCTTTGAGCGTCCGCGCGGCACCCCCCCCCTTTTCGGCAGCATAATGTCTTCTACCCATTCCCTTGCAGAGACACATCAACTTCTATAGTTCAACATTTTTACGCTGAAATGGGGCAGCACGAGCGAAAGTGGGCAGCATCCAAGAAAGCAGGAACATATTGGGAGTAGAAAAAATCATTTTTAGTGCCCCGAGCGCAGTCACTGCATACGCGCATTCCGCAACCCTAAATTATTGAAAGTGATGAGATGAAGATGAGTTGCAGTCAAGATATGAAATAAGAAAGAGTTTTTTATAGAAAATTTGAAAGCAAGGTGGTTTCCCCGCTTGATCCCCTCTTGTGCATAAGGGGGTTCACTTCCCCTCCCCACAGGGGATCCCTTGTCCGATATTGTCTTTGTGCATACGGGGGTTCGCGCGGGGAGGGGAGGGGATCCCCAGCGGGGATCATTTCAATGGTTAAGCGCACATCCCCTCCCCGCGGGGATGTACGTGCATACGGGCCTAACTCTCGATCTTTTTCGTTTTAATTCATGAAAAAGGTACCATTGTAATGAGCATAATTTTCTCTATCAAACAAAAATACTTTCAGAATTTTTCGTGACCCAGCTCGAAAAATGCCAATCTTGACTGATTTTATTCAACTGCTTCTAACTCTTGAAGTTTTCCAGAGTAATTCATGCCGGAGGTACTGCTGTAAAGAGCATGGATTCCTCTTTCGAATACATGTAATCCCAACGAAATTCATCGAGTGTCAAGGAAGTTATGATTTTTTGAAAATGATGCGCAAGAACTTTCGGACCGACCTAATAATATGCTTGGTAGGCCTCGTTCTAATAGTTATAATAGAGAAACAGTAATCAAAGGGTTCTCGTCAAGACCAACTCAAGTGGGGGAGAGAAGGCTCCGGTGGTCGTGTGTCACACCTCCTGCACGACCCTACACTTGAAAACGCAAAGCAGCTTTTCAAGAAAACTACCAAATTTTTTAAATGTCGTAGTTTACACCAGCAAGCCATTTCAAAAGTATTCAATCAAGAATAGAATATAAGATGCCCGCCAAAAGAAATCTTGCAAGTTCTTAATTGTCATCATATAGAACACAGACAGTAAAATACAAATGCAGCGCTGTGATTTCTCGAGACTAGAACTCAATTTAAAAAATAGAAAAATGTGAAGATATCACCTTTTTCGAGTAGTTGTGCTAAATTTGATTTGTCGACCACTAAAGTACAAAGATGATATTTTTGGTCTTAGTCTTTATAAAATGCAACGTTTATGTGAAACTAGCGCGCGATTGCGTTTGCCAAACTTTTTTAAATCACAGCATTGCAGATCATCCAATTTTTTGAGGCACGCAATGTTTTCGGATTTTAGCAGCGGATCACGATCCATGTTTAAGGTATGTTCAAAGAAAATATTTGATTTTATGTTTATGTCTTTATTCATTTATTCATTTATTTTTTGTTGTTGTTTGTATGTTTGAAGCTTACTACTGGAGAAAGATTAGCCGCCTACCATGACCTTATTACATACTTTGACAGTACCGCTTGATTAGATCTTTGATTATTCGAGCTGCAATATTTTCCTTGAAAAAGGCAACATTTACAAAGTTGACTACAACCACCATTCTACGTGCTATATACTACTTTTTATCACAATCTCTATCCGCAGTATGCACTAATTGATGGGTGGCGAAATGATGGGTGGTGGAATGATGGGGAGTGGATTTGGCTTGGGAGGAGGATTTCAGGAAAGTTACCAACAAACAATTCACTATTGCACACTGTAATTATTGCACCAGCATTGATAGACTGGAATGGCAAAGCTTATTGAGAAATTTTACAGCACAGCCATGCAGCCAAATGAATATAATCTGCACACTGTAGCAGTGGCTTTTCTCCACGAGAAGCTGTACAATGCGCAATTTCCAAATTTATGATTACTTGATGACCCGCAGCGCCCAACCGTCTTTTCTTCAACGTCATATTTTTCTTTCAGAGTTAGTGAAAATGTACCAAAGTTTCTCTGATTATCTAACCAAACAATGCTAGCATGTTTCGATAAGAACAGATGATGTGTTGGAATCATGAATTTGCGATGAACACAAGTCGAAAGTTGGGATTTACCGAAAAAACAAATATTTCCAAAAACTCATTTCTTCTTATCAGCAACATGCTAGGCAATATTAGGTTAGATAATCGGTACAACTTTGGGATTTCCGTTAACTTCGAAGAAAGATAAATGACTTTGAATAACAGATGGTCGGCCGAGGGGGATCCAGGGTATCTTACAAAAGCTAGAAAATGCGGCTTGTACAGCTTAATACACCCGCTCGATATGTTCATAGTGAAGGATGGTGGGAATACTTACGGACAGGTAGACATCATAAAATCCAGTGGCCGTATTCATCAACGAACCTAGTGGGTTTCAGAACCCATTGGTTAGGCTCAACCCACAAAATCGGTATTCACGAAACTAGTGGGTTCCTGAACCCAGTGGGTTTCGGAACACAAAAAGCCACTTAACCGGTATTCACGAACGAACCCAGTGGATTCGCGAAACCAAAAGTCAAGCATACCGGATTTCACAAAACAAGTTACCCAGTTCTCGTGGGTTCCGCCCACTGAGCGCTGGGTTGGCGAACCCAAGCATGGTGCAAATTCCTCAGTGGTTACATGCGAACCCAGTCCTTTTGCTGAATGATTATGTGGGTTCATATAGACAGGGACGGTTAATGCTAGTAACACATATGCATTAATAACACTTTCCATATTTTTTATGACTGACAGGAATGTCGTTGGATAAATTTTGATTAGATATTCCACTGAGATGTAGGATTAGCAAAATGCAAGTCACAATTTGGCAATCTTTGAAAAGTTGCAAACAAGCTTTTGCGGAAATTTTTTTGAAAACGTGAAAGCCTATGCATTTTCCGATGTTTGTGCGTACTTGCTGTGGTTAGAGAGGGAGCCTCATATAGGAAGCAGAGCGTCTACCTGCATTCATGTTACGTATTTGGTTGTCCATGTTTGTTCATCTTCGTCATGTTCGTTTATTCCGCAGATAATAAAAAATTCAATCCGATCAAGTCAGCAGATGAACGCTTTAAAAGCGGGAAAAAGTTTTCAATCAAAATCATTTCTTCCTTGATTTCGTGAAGTGAGAATGGGAGGAAAACGAGCTTTAAATTATATAGATTCTATATCTCAGCTATGTCGAGCAATTTTTAAAAGTATGGCTAATATATGCTTGTGAGATAAGAGACAATGCTAGAAAGATCGCTTGCGCAAAAAGCGTTGAGCCCTTTTTTGCGTCTCTTTCCAAGTCGACATTCATGTCGACTTCCGAGAGAATACTCAAATAAAGAAGGACAATGATAAGGAAATGCAAGTTTCGTCGCATAAAAGACTTTGATTGATGGCATTCATCCAAACATAAGAGTTCTCGAAAGCGTGTCAAGCGTGCTGACGCTTTTAGTTTAGCGCGGTTCGTGTGCGTGGGAAAATAAGGAAAATAGTCCACCGACTAGAGAGGCACATTGGTGACGTCATGGGTTGGCGAACCCAGAGGGGCACTTGTGAATACCGATCTTACCCACTGGATTCGCAAACCCAATGGGTTCCGGTTCGTTGATGAATACGGTCACAGATATCTGAAGCCTCAGGGCTTGAAGCTTTCTTCAAAGCTGCGATCCCTCCGCAGCTATAACCAGGGTCAAGCGTGGGGTGCGGCACGCCACACCTGGGGGTCGTATTGAGAAGTCAAAAGGGGAGGGGGTCGTAGTTGGGTGATCTGATAATAGTGATAACATGATATTCGTATCCTATCCATAATTAGCATGTTAAATAACCCCTGTAGACAAAGTGTGAGCGATTTCTGAAGGTTCAAAATACTAGGCTACATAAGTAAAATGGTCAAATTCCAACATGGTTAACTTTGTTTCAAAGGTGAATTAGCTATCCGTTTTTGCACTCAAGACAAAGCACTATTCCTTCATTTTCCATCTCAGGAATCCCGCTTCAGAAGACCTGCAGACTGTGAAATTAGAAGCCAACCAAAATCTCGTTTTCCCATTTTTCGCTTTTGATCGCTGTGCTTTCACCAAATATTGCTTACGATTAGAGCTAAGAAGACAAATCAGGCTTCAAACAGTCCTATGGAATCTATAAGGTTTAGGCTATCGATTCATTTGAATACTGTCCGCTAAAAATGTTTTTTTTTTGATATAGTTAATGGGGTGCGGCACACCCCCTTAACTTGCCTTCAAAATCCAGAAAGCGCTCCATTGCCGGTATGAGTATTGAGCACATAGCTTCTTCTTTCTCATTGGAAATTTGGAGCCGAACGCCCCACCCATAAGAAAATTATGGCCCTTTCAATATGCCCATTCAGATCAAAATCAGCCGTCAAATTACGTGTGAGTGTAAAGTGCAGTCACAGAAAATCGGGCGTACAGCTCTCAGAAATCTGAAAACTCTAGAAAAAGATGGTGTCCTCCAGAATGTCACACTTTGAGGTCCAGAGGTTAAGAGGAGGAAGAAGGGGGGGGGGGGTCGTTTGAGGGCTTTCATGGGAGGGGGGGGGGGTTTCGAAAGACTTGTGCCTGACCTCTTTCTCAACTCTGGTAATGCTATCTTAGGTACCCTAGTTTCACGCGTACAAGGCGCGGGGTGGTCCTAGCTTTCCTCGAGCTGTTCAGCCGCGCCAACGTGTTTTAAGAAGCGGTCCTTATGCCGCACGATTCGTCAGGCAAAACGCAGCACGGTATGTGGTTCCTTTGGTTGCGAAGTCCTTTGCCGTGTTCGGGCTGGTCGATGAAAGCTAGGACCACCCCGCGCCTTGTACGCATGAAATTAGGGTATATAGTTCAGGGGAGGGGTCTTATTAAGACAGCAATCAGGGGGGGGGGGGGGTCGTAACCAGCGATCGTGTGCCACACCCCTTGCTTGACCCTGGCTATAACCCAAGGCGACAACCACTTCCCGAAAAAAAATTACACCTAATTGAATATTTCAGAAAAAAATTATTCTAACTTTTTACAAGTCACTAAACTAGGTCACTAAACTTTCGAACTAGTCACTCGCACTTTTTTCAACTCATGTGAGTAATTTACACACTCGCACGCATTCATGGAAAGAAACGCTTCCTACCCTTCCCACCATCTCCGACACTTCGTCGCAGCACCATACTGCCTCATCACAAGTCACTTGAGCAATTTTATAGTTCATGCAGGCTTTTCAAATTTCCCCGACCACTTTCGAGGGGAGGGGAAGAGCGCGTTATCCCTTTGGTCCGCCACTCACATATAATGGCATACATGTTTTTCATCAAGTCTAATATTGTCAGTAATTACTTCTACAAATTTTAGGATTACGGTTCACTTTTGTATGGAACTGGTTCACTTGGGCAGCAGGAGGAGGGCTTATCGGCAATGGGCTAGCATTCATTTTTGGTTAATTGAAGGTCATTAGCACGTTCACGGAAGAAGAGTGAACGTCATTTAAGTATGCGCTTTCTGTGTAAATGCCACTACTGACTGCTATGACTACTTCCAATTTCCAACTCCATCGAAAACTGAGAGTAACATCTCACTTTTTACTCTGTAATTTTTCGCTTGGCAATTTGCTGGCGATTTGCTTTTTGTAACACACACTCATATTAATCTTCAGGACTATGGTGGCCCTTTGTGAAACGTAGCCATCCTTTAGTTGAATGTTGATTGAATGACTTTGGATAAACGTTTCAACTTTGCCTGCCGAGATATCCACATTTTGACATTTATTTTATGCAGACAAGCTGATTAGGTCGTTTACTTCCTCGCGTTTATGGAAGGCTACCACAATTTCAAGAGAGTGCAAGTCAACATTCGCAGGTAGTATGATGTTAGACACGATTTTGCGACTTTCGAAGTGATTAGAATTGCAGTACTTGGTTGAATCGGATTCTGAGCCAAGTTAACGCACATGTGTATTATCATCACGATAGATCGATCATATCTTGTCGCCACGTGACTTCCAACTGCTACAATTACTCATGTTCTTCCGTATGCGCGTGCTCTTTCAAGATCTGGCATGTAAGCATAAGCTCAGAAAAGCCATGCGCCTACGCTCTTGAATTCCGCAAGCGGTAGATTTGCGGACAATTGGCAAATTACCAGATCGCGTATCGCTGCAATCTTTGAGAAGTCGCGCCAGGAGGTTTTAGACTATAAGAAGAGCCCTGTATCTTTAGTGAAGCCGTTAAGGAGTGTTTCTGGTAGGAAAAGGAGGCCAAGTTTCACAGGTAATTGCTGTCTGCAGACCGCGGTTGAAGTTAGAGAGGGAACAAAGGATTTAAAAAAGGACAATAAGGCTTGTATGTTTGAATATCTCTTCGGCAAGGTTAGCGGCGTTCCCAATGATGAAAAAGCAGCCGAGCTTGCCCGCGGCTTCTTCATATCGTACGCCGCTTCCTCTCGGGGATTTGGATGCGTAGGGACCCAAGTATGACAAGGTATAATATAAGTACTTATTGCTTTGGTTTTGAGATGTCATCGAACACCCTTTTTGTGGGAAAGCTCTTTTTCCTGCACAGCACAAAGCTTGGGACATAAACAACCAAAATGCGTTTACTCCAGCTTTTCTAAGAATGAGATATGAGAGATTTTATCTAGCTACAACATTAGCTGTAAATGCGTGTCCATTTCGTTACTTAACCTGAGAAGAAGAAGAATGCTTTCAAGAAATTCACAACCTCTTTTTAACCTTTGAAAAGGTGATGTTTTGATGAAACACGCATAAGCACACTTAATCAGAGTGTTTTTGAATCTGTTGCTACTTAAGGACGTTATGATTTCACAGTTTACTATCCCACTCAGTATCAGCCGTGGGTCGCAGAAGCAAGACCTCTCAAAGGTGAAGCTCCACTGTCAAGACATTAGCAGTCAATGTATTATTCGCTGGTAGAACATAAGAAATCGGCAATGACTGTCTCTTTTTCTTTTTTCTCACTAACCAGCTAGAACACCGGTCAATTTTGTAGTCAATTAACGCCTCAAAAAGGGAAAATGTTGTAGGCACCAAAAGAAACATGGATCAATTTTTCAAGAGTAACATGCACCAAATTGACCCGGACCAAAATTTCTGCGCTTAATTCCTCTTTGCGGCAATTTGTGTTTATTGAAACAATGTTTCTTAGTCAAAGATTCCGACGTCTTTCTGATTTTCGAGTACATTTGTCAGGGTTCCTTCATACTACGCAGCAGGACGCAACAGCCTGCCGCAGTACGCGGCAGCACTCCGCAGCGCCCCCGTCCTAGGCGTGCGCCGCTGCAGTCGCAATAAACATATAAGCTCGCTCGCTGCGAAGACACACTCTCAGAGTGCTGCCGCGTCCCGCTGCTGCCGACTCCTTGCCTTTCTGTCGCAACCCCATTCAAAGAGGTCATTTAGGTGTTGGAACAAAAGCATGGAAAGGATGTAATCGGTTGCTCCACACATGGCAACTCCGCACCTTACAAGAGAAGGACCGGGTCGCAGTGCCAAAACGAAATGTATGCATACCATTAGATGCGTCTTGATGAGGTGATTTCAAATCTGTCCTTTCTATCTGCTAGGAGCTTCTCCAAAAGAAGTCATGGACTTGCAAAGATGTAAAACTGTTGAGATTTTGATGCATAATGCACTTTGAAGGCTAGCTTAGGAGTGATCAATTTACATAGTTTTGAGTACACTGACTGCAAGAATACAAGTAATATAATACAACTAGATGGCAAACCCGGCTCTGCCCGGGACCAAACTTTGCACACATACACTTCGGGGCAGGGAGCGTGTCATAGGCTACTTTTCGTTATCGATCGATATCGATTTTATTGATTTTTTGCAAAATTTGAGCTAGGGGGCTGGGATTTTGCACAGGGGGGTAATCGAGCATGCAAAATCCCAGCCCCCTAGCTCAAATTTTGCAAAAAATCAATAAAATCGATATCGATCGATAACGAAAAGTAGCCCATGACACGCTCCCTGCCCCGAAGTATATGTGTGCCAAGTTTGGTCCAAATCGGTTCAGAAATAAAAATTTCTATTCCGCACATACGTACAGACAGACATACATACAGACAGACAATCAGCTTTATATTTAAGATAAGTACACAGTAAGTATACATACAGAATACAATAAGTACACTGACTGCACTGCATAAATACACCGAACTTATGAGTAACCTTTGAACAAGTTCTTGTAGATGGGACCCTAAATGTTAGCTAAATTTGGACATTCAAATGCCCATAACTTCTTCTAGAGAAGCTCGTAGCAGATATGAAAGGAGATTTGGAATCAGCTCATCAAAACGCATCTAATGATATGCATATGGTTTCGGTTCGCCACTGCGATCTGGTATCCTTCCTTTGTTAGAACTTCAGATTTTTTTTGCACATAGCCTTACAAGAGAAGAATGGGTGGTCGCTATATCATGTTGAAGGGCATAACCCCAAATCTGTCTTTACTATCTGCGGCGCGTTCCTGCACGAGAAGTTTTGTGCTTAGTGGGGAGAAAATTGAATGTGCAAATAATTTAAGAACAGTAGTAACATCTTCCCCAGCGCTTAAATGAACCAGTGGTAATCTTTCCAGCACGCTATAAAATAAATGCTCTTAGATGAGATATATCCGCATTCCGGCTGTCTCATTCAAGCGCTGGGAAAATTTTATAACATTTTTGTTTAACACATTTCATTTTTTGCTCCTTTAAACGCTCATAACTTTTCGTCCAGGAATGCTCCGCAGAAGAATGACAAATTTAGAATTAGCATTTTACGCCCTCCAACACTGTGCACAACATTGCAAAAGGCCACTTCGACCGACTATCCTTCCCTCGTTAGACGAATATATTTTAGATACGTAAAGATTGCATAGTCGATTCGTTGACCGCACAGACTGGACATGACTGCGTAGCAGTTGCCGCGAGGTTGAACGCTTGCCCCGAAATTCGTCGTACAAGTCGTGCTCTTTAAACGTTTCATCCGCGCCGTGCGTGGTCCGCAGCGTTTGAGCGGTCCGTGCAGTCAACGAATAGACGATACCTTTAGCTTTTGCCTTTGAGATACTTTGGTGGAGGAGAAAAAATGCGGGAGTTAGAACCAAGAAGCATTGTCCGACTTGCCAATGTTTTCTAAAAATTCGAGTTATGCTTTGTCAAGCTCTAGATACCATTTTATTGCTGCTTCAGCCTGGATTTGCATTAACCTGATCATTGATGATCGCTCATCACTATTGCAGAATCACGGTGGGAAATTCCTGACATAATTCCACTGAGAAATAGGACGTTTAAAAATTTCCAAAAAAAAAAGTGGAGAGGTGTGTAGCAGAGATTTCATGCACTTTGATTTTGTTACACGACTTATGAGAAGTTTAAAATTTCGCAAGTGATGTAGTCACAGTTCAAGCAAAATCAAAAAAACGGCAGCTACGATTGAGAATTGCAATTAAAATTACATGGCCGCCTGCCCCCTGCTCAGATAATCGCTGGGGGCAGGAGGCCATGCAATTTTTGGGCAAGCGGGCATCGGAAAAATATTAGGTCGTCAAGAAAATAATGTCGTTTTTTACTTGCTTGCTTTAATAAAGCAACCAGGTACAACCCAACAAAGGGTAAGAGAGTAAGAGATACTGTTCGATGGAACAAAGCAAGCTTTACGAGATGGCGTTCATAACGTTGCGCCAAGTTCGATCCACGGCAAGTTTGAACTCAAAATCTAAAGATTTCCAAATGCCCAAAAAATCGAAAAAAATCAGATCTCTGCCCAAATAATTTCTACGGACCTCCCACCCACACACATCAATACTTTCGATATCAGACACCCATATGTGCAGTTGCTGTATTTTTTCCCCGATTAGAAACTAAAAAAACGAAAATTGTCATGGTATTCTCAAAGCAATGCTGAGCCGTTCTTGCATATGTAATTCTATACTACAGGCCTAGGTTAACGTAACTGTAGATTTCCAGCCTATTCCGAGTGGTGGTTTTCGGAAAATGTCGATTTTAGCACTGAAACTGAGAAACTCCAAAACTTCCTTCCCTCTCTACGATGCAATTCTCTGGAAAAAGTTATGAGCGGCTAAATGTGTGAAGACATTGGGGTTTTAATGCACAATGTGCTTTGATATCCAACTTGGGAGTGCATGACTAGCATGATATTGAGTGTACTGATTTCAAAGGATGTTTAGATTAGCGGATACATAGAAGTATTTTTGGTAAACTAGTTCTTGAGGCAGCGTAGTATATTTGTTAAATTTGGAATTTTCATTGCTTATAGTTTCTACCGAACAACTTAATTTGTATTTAGTTGTTTGAAAATACTTCTTACTGTTTCTAACGAATGTAAGCATTTCCTAATCAGTACACTCAACAGCGTGCTAGTCATGCACTCTTAAAGTTGATTTCAAAGCATATTATGCTTTGAAATGCCAATGACTTCACATTTTTAACCGCTCGTAACCTTTTCCAAAGAACGGCATCGCAGATATGGAGGGTAGGTTTGGAATCAGCTTATAAAGACGAATCTGATGATATGCGAATCATACCAGTTCGCCACCTAAGTTGGGATCGTTTCCTTGTCAGATAATCGCCGGGGGCAGGCGGTCCGCAAACTCGCGCTTTTCTGCAAGCGATCAGCAAAATTTTGGGGCGTGGCCAAACCTTCAGCAAGCGGTACTTCCGTGTTCTGCCAGCGGGTAGCAATACAAAATTTTCTGCAAGCGCTGGTCAAATAACCTCTTTCAGCGAGCGCTGGCAAATTTTCAGTAGGCGCTCGGACTCTTTTTACGCAGTTTCGGGCGTACGCCGAGCGAAGCTGAGACTCTGTGTGGCAGAGGTCTCATCAATGGTTTTCCTATAGACACGTGGTCTTCACCAAATGAGCTACAAGAAAAGTGTTGTTTGTATAAAGTAGAATTGGTGATGTATGTCAAATCGCTTTTGCCGTTTTCTCTTACGCTTTCGCTTTGCCACAGCGCCTAAGGACAATCAGTGCTTGGAAGTGAGTACCCTAAATTCAAGATATCTGTAAATATCAAGTTTTTTCTGCTCCGAAAAGTATCGAACTCTTTTCGTTATATTGAATTTGTGTGGCGTCACCCACGCGAACTGTCGCCAGAAGAATTTTATGGGAATGCGTCCTAAAAGTTAAGCTGTAATCCCTACATTTTGGAAAAGGAAGTGTGCTGATATCACCCCCGAAAATTTTTTGCAGGGCTGATTTGATTTTGAAGAAAAGGAAGGTCTCCCCTCTGAAGGTTAGTTTATAAGTGTAAAGTCTCTATCAAAATAGTTCGATCATGCCAGCCTAAATTGCCATTGAGGGTGATTTGCGTTCGCTAAGACGTAGGCGCAGGTCATCTATCTATAAGCAGAACAAATCGTGCGAACTGAGTACAGTGGACAGCGCAGAATTGCCTTTGGAATAATTAGGAAACTTCAAAAATCACTGTCAACAAGAAAAAGACACAAGTTTTGTAATTTTTTGTCAGGTCTTTTATTGTCTGTCATCTGCTGTACATATACTGCTTTCCTCTTCATTTACAAAAGAAAAAAACTCAGTAAAGTTTTTAGAGTTTTTTGGGTGCCAGAAAACGAAAGATATTGAATATCTCAAAACTGACTTTACAAGGATTTGCCTCAAACTGTTATATTATAGCTAACTACTAACTTTCTTGTTATCATTGGTTACGCATGCGAAGAAGCTTTAGCAGAACTTGCAGCTGACAAAGATGAACACCAATAAAAAATAAATACAAACATACACATCTACCCATGTTACAAAACTTTTTTCTCTTATATTGTTCGCATATTATTTGGTAATGTGTTTTCCGCCTTAATGATTTTGAGATTTGTTGAAAACAATCGCGAAAATTAAGTGCTATTCAAGAGGTTTTATGAAAGCGAAAAAAAACCATTGAGCTGTTTTATTAGAAAGTTTCTGATAGGCAAAGGCTTGAAGCTTCCTACAAAGGCGGAAACATTGGCTCTAATGTTTTGGCGTCGATCAATATTCAACATCACAGATGTTAAGTTTTCCGACTTATCGAGTCCAAATCTAGCACAACAGAAGCTCTCAAGTAGGGCTTCTACCAAGTTTCTAAATAAATGTGAGAAAAAAAGTGAGGGACAAGTACGGTTGCGTGCCATCAATAGCCTTAGCAGAGCGCAGACGAATGATCTTACAAGAGCGTACTGTTTATTCTCAGGTCTTGGCATGGTGCACACTTTTCAATGTAAGTTTTATTTTGGACCAAGATTGCAAAAATTTCCTAATGCCCAATTTTGACGTTTTTGTGCTCGACGCTTTCTCAGAGCTTAAAAAGGAATAAGAGATTATCGAACGTCAAGAAAAGGGAAGAATCGAAACCGAAGGGGACATTAGTAAAAAACACAAACTGGTTAACAGCCCACCCTGCGCGAGCCTGTACCAACTCTTTTACATGCCGGAGTAACCCCAATTTTTACAAAGCCATTTAAAGGGTTGATAAGGCGCAAGTCCAGTGGCGGTGGTAAAGTAGTGCGCTTATAACTCCAGCTCGCGGCAATCGAAAACGGTTCTAAAGCGTGCCATATTTCGGTATCGTACGACAAAATTTCTACTCCAATCTGTACTTTCTCCTCCTTAAACGTGGGCGAAAATGGACAGGAAAAACAAAATGATTCTTTTGGGAACCTAGTACACAAAAGGGAAAGGGGCAAAATCAATGGCGCATGTTTCTGTGACAAAAATATGTAGGATGGGTTTGACATCAGATCAAGCGTATCTCTTTTCACCAACCACTAATATCGTATAGCGATAGTCAAAAAATGACCCTTTATTTATCGATAATATTTCAGACCTCTCGTCAACTAAAATGTACTCTGTACGCAGAAGACTTCAATTTGATACGATATGTTTTTCATTCCTTTTGCTGTGGGATTGCGCACTATAGCAGAGCATCCCTTCGTTGAATATGGAAATTTACAACCCAACCCAAAAGGGTTTTCCAATCTAGGAAAATGAGAGGTAACGTAAGTATACTAAAAGCACCATTCTTGCAAAGACCATATGTTCAAAATCAATTGTGAGAACCTAAACATGCAAAAGTTCGCGTGTAAAAAAACAAGAGTATCTATCATTTGTGAAAATGGTTCAACCAATTCAGAAGGCGCATGTATGAAGACCAAATACTGCTGCTTTTGATATACTTCCCTTACCTCTCATTTTCTCAAATCGAAAAACCCTTTTGGGTTGGGTTGTAAATTTCCATATTTAACTGAAGGTTGCTCTGCTATAGTGTGCAATTCCACAGCAAAATGAAAAAAAACTTGGTATGAATTTGAAGTCTTCTGCGTACAAAGTACATTTTATTTGACGAGAGGTCTGAAATTTTTTCAATAAATAAAAGTGGTTGGTGAAAAGAGATACGCTTGATCCGCTGTTGAACCAATCCTACACATTTTTGTCACAGAAACATGCACCATTAATTTTGCCCCTCCCTCTTGTGTACTAGGTTCTCCAAAAGAATCATTTTGTTTTTTTTCTGTCCATTTTCGTGCACATTTAAGGAGGAGAAGGTACAGATTGGAGTAGAAATTCTGTCGTACGATACCGAAATATGGCAAGCTTTAGAACCGTTTTCGATTGCTGCGAGCTGGAGTTATAAGCGCACTGCTTCACCACCGGACTTGCGCCTTATCAACCCTTTATATGATTAGGTTACTCCGTCATGTAAAAGTGAGTTGGTACAGGCTCGCGCAGAGTGGCCTGTTAACTTGCGCTTGTGCTATGTTGTTATGATGAGTAAGAAGCACCGCTTGCTCTGGTTCTACTTTTTTACTATTCTCCTCTCCGGTTTTGATTCGTCCCATTTCTTGACGTTCGATAATCTCTTATTCCTTTTTAAGCTCTGAGAAAGCGTCGAGCACAAAAACGTCAAAATTAGGCATTAGGGAATTTTTGCAGTCTTGGTCAAAAATAAAACTTACATTGACAAGTGTGCACCATGCCAAGACCTGAGAATAAACAGTACGCTTGTTGTAAGATCATTTGTCTGCGCTCTCGCTAAGGCTATTTATGGCACGTAACCGTATTTGTCCCTCACTTTTTTCTCACATTTATTTAGAAACTTGGTAAAAGCCCTAGTTGAGAGCTTCTGTTATGCTAGATTTAGACTCGATAAGTCGGAAAACTTAACATTCGTGATGTTGAATATTGGTCGACGCACGTTATAGCCAATGAACATTTGTGATGTTGAATATTGATCGACGCACGTTATAGCCAATGTTTCCGCCTTTGTAGGACGTTTCAAGCCTTTGCCTATCAGAATCTTTCTAATAAAACAGCTCAATGGTTTTTTTTTCGCTTTCATAAAAGCTCTTGAATAGCACTTAAGTTTCGCGATTGTTTTCAACAAATCTCAAAATCATTAAGGCGGAAAACGCATTACCAAACAATATGCGAACAATATAATAGAAAAAAATTTTTGTAACATGGGTAGATGTGTATGTTTGTATCTATTTTTATTGGTGTTCATCTTTGTCAACTGCAAGTTCTGCTAGAGCTTCTTCGCATGCGTAACCAATGATAACAAGAAAGTTAGTAGTTAGCTATAATATAACAGTTTGAGGCAAATCCTTGTAAAGTCAGTTTTTGAGATATTCAATATCTTTCGTTTTCTGGCACCCAAAAAACTCTAAAAACTTTACTGAGTTTTTTTCTTTTGTAAATGAAGAGGAAAGCAGTATATGTACAGCAGATGACAGACAATAAAAGACCTGACAAAAAATCACTAAACTTGTGTCTTTTTTTTGTTGACAGTAATATTTAAAATTTCCCAATTATTCCAAAGGCAATTCTGCGCTGTCCACTGTACTCAGTTCGCACGATTTATTCTGCTTATAAACAGATGATTAACGAACGCAAATCACCCTCAATGGTATTTTAGGCTGGCATGACCGAACTATTTCGCTAGAGACTTTACACTCATAAAAGATTTTCCTTTTTCTCAAAATCAAATCAGCCCGGCAAACAATCTTCGGGCCTGATATCAGCACACTTCTTTTTCCAAAATGTAGGGATTATAGCCCAACTTTTAGGACGCATTTCCAAAAATTTTTTCTGGCGACAGTTCGCGTGGGTGACGCCACGCAAAATCAATATAACGAAAAAAGTTCGATTTTCGGAGCAGAAAAAACTTGGTATTTACAGATACCTTAAATTTAGGGTACTCAGTTTCAAGCACTGATCATCCTTAGGCGCTGTGGCAAAGCGAAAGCGTAAGAGAATAACGACAAAAGCGATTTGACATACATCACCAATTCTACTTTCTATAAACAACATTCCTCCCGTAGCTCATTCGGTGAAGACCAATGTTTCGTTGTTGTTGTGCTGCGAAAGTAATACTCATTAAGGCAAAACTGTACGGGAAAACCGGGAAAAAACCTTTGATACAGTCGTGATTTTCTTATCCAGGTAGTAAAGCGGAGCTGATAGGTGAACAAAAATATACATAAATGAAAGAAGATGCACGACTTGGCCGGACCCTGGAAGATAGGTGCCACTTGCATGCGTATTCATTTGAATCTGAGCTGTTGAGAATAAAGCCCATGGGAACAACCGTAAGTTATTAGGACTATAAAGTTGTTGCTACTAGAATGCAACAGCCCATTTTGAGGTGCGAAAAGAGCTCGACTCGAGGTCGGCGATCGTCGAGCAGAATTTGTTCTAGGAAAAAAGGGAGTGGGTATCGTAAATACAAGTTTGCATGCACATGCGCACCATTCAAAAAGTGCTATACGTGCTCAAACACATCTTCCCAGTACTTCATTCAAAGAATTCAAATCATTTTGCACTGTGTATTAGACAACTGCCTTGTTTACAAGGCCGTAACGATATAAAACTGGTTTTAAAGGCACTGGCTAATAATGCAAATTACAAAGCACTATGAAACAATTATCTGATTGAAGGCTTTGGCAAGTTTTTTTAAACTATCTTACTGACAATCAAAAAAATGACTCGTGCAATGTGCACACGAGTAAAATACGGGTCATCAAGCAACCTAAGAGGCTAAGGTTGCTTGACCAAAACTATTATATGTAGCAAATAATGCTGTTGTGGAGATCTCTCAGATCAATAACGGCAGTTGTCAAGCCGGGCCGAGAAAGTCAAAATAGGGTTTGTATGAAGAAAGTTCATATTAACACTGCACTTTTTTTCTGCTCTCAACCATGGTTTTGTGTTTTCACTTTGCCAATATTTTCAGCTTTACCGACCGTTTTGCAGTTTTTGGCAGCGAGCCATTGTAGCGCTATCAGGACATTCGGCACGAGGTGGCACGAAGGACTTGCAAAAGTGTTTGTTGCCTTCAATACAGTACTAGCTGGCTTACCCGGCTCCGCCCGGCCTTGTCAAAACACTAGATAAGTTCCCATCCCTATCCCTGTACGACCTTTCCCTGTGCCTACTTCTACATGCCAATTCCCTATTCCCTCTGTGTTAGTGATCAGAACGACTTATCTCTCTGTGCCAATTTCCAGCCCGTAGCTCGAACTTAGCAAAAAAAATTGATAAAATCGATAAAAGAAGTGAACAGTTTTAAGCTGTCATTGTATTTGTAATCAGCATGCTCAATTACCCCCTTGTGCCAACTCCCAGCCCCGTAGCTCAATTTTTGCAAAAAAATCGATAAAAGTGAATAAAATTGATATCGGTCAATGGCGAAAAGTAGCCTTTGACACCCACTCAGACAATCGCTGGGGGCAGGCGGGCACCGGAAAAATAGATTGCTGATCTCTCGCACCCCGCTCGCGGATTTTCTGCAAAGCAATCAGGACTTTTCGGAAGACCGCTTGCTGAGTCAGCGGATTTTTGAGAGACCGCCTGTTGAATTTTTTTCGCTCTTATCTTTTGCAGATACATTGCTGAGTCTGAGGAATCGAGAACTCAGCAAGCGGTCTTCCGAAAAGTCCTGATTGCTTTCCAAAAAATCCGCAAGCGGGGTGCAAGAGATCAGCAATCTATTTTTCCGGTGCCCGCCTGCCCCCGGCGATTGTCTGAGCACCCCACCCCGAAATGTATGTGTGCAAAGTTTGGTACGGATCGGTTCAGAAATGGAATTTTCTTTTCGGAACATACGTACAGACAAACAGACAAACAGACATACATACAGACATTCAGCTTTATATATAAGATGAATAAAATGGGACAGAACAGTACACTGAACAACGCCAGAAACAATGACGGTGACAGGGCTTATCAACTGCAGTATCGGGTGCACCTGCATCTCCATTACTCTGCATCTCTTTCACGAACATGCCCTCTGATCGCTTTTCAACCGCGAGCGTGAAATAGGCGAAGCTCAGTCGATTAAATGTGATTAGAGAGCATGTTCGCGGAAGAGGTACAGAGTTCCACGCCGGGAGTGGGGATGCTGGTGCACCCGACACTCCAGTTGATAAGCCCTGTATGTTGTCTGGATTGGAAGCATGTTGGTTTTTGTCATGTCATGTCTTCTCAATGAGAAGGGCTTGGCACAGCTGGCACCGTATCAAGCTTATCGTTTTTGGGACCAGAAGCAAAGGGGATATCGTTGTGGCTGAAAAGACGCAAAAATTGCGACGTTTTTTTAGACGACGTTTCGTTTTTTTTGAGGTTTTTTTGTGTTAAAGACAGTGGCTCGGCAAATCTCAACCTAGTCAAATTTGCGCTTACCTGGGATTTTTCAATACGCTGATCCCGAAAATTCACTTTTGAAAGCTTGAAAACGGCGAAAATAAGCGTTTTTAATGCACTTCCCTTTGATAGACGAGTGGAGCAAGGCAGATGACGCTAAATCGTGGCAGGACCCAATGGTTATAGCGTTGCGGCGGGCAGCCACCAATGGTGTGAAGGAAATTGCCAACTCGTCCAGATGCGTGTAAATTGGACCGGGCGTGTAAGTTTGAGAGCGATTTTCTCGGCAGGGAAAAGCATGCTGTGCAACCGGGATTGCACTGTTTTCATAGTTGGGCGATAAGGAACCTGTTCGGCCATTTGCTACGTATTGTGGCCGAACCGACCTATACATTAATCATCCCGCAGTAAAGCGGGCGGGTTCGGGGGGTCAACGGGACTCTTCTGTTGTAAGCTTCCTCAGTGTCACAATAAACGTTCATAGCGACGTGTTGTGTTATCTCCCAGAGTAAAAGTTGCCCTATAGTGGCACAGAACCTACCGTGTTAAAATCCCGAGTTGCTGGATTTTGCCGATCCACTGCCTTTAAGGGTTTAGCGGAGGGGACTTCGTAAGAAATTTTCAAGATCAAAGGGGACTTCGTTTTGAAATTTTTCCAGTGCCGGCTCGTGCCGAGCTCTGCTTTCCATGTATAATACATTGGATGAGAATGCAGACAAATGATTGCTAGAAAGGCCATGTGAAGAAAGGCGAAATTTTGAATTTTCTTTCAACGACACCACAGGCTCACAAATTCTTGCGAGGCTACCTGATTTGGGAAGAAATTTGTCATCTTTGAGAACTACACAAACCTGTTTTCTAAATTCCCGTTCATTGTTTCTACACATCATCGCAAATTTGGTGTCGTACCGTTACTTTCCCGCCCGGATATTCAGCTCGTTTAATGCCACTGCCGGGCTCTGAACTAAGCTAGCCCAAACTTCTATCTCGCAAGCACTTTCAAACTGTCTCTGACTACAATTTTGAGTTTCATTTTCAAAATTCCCTGCATAATTTCAAGTTACAAACTGATGAAACATCAGTTTGACAAAGTCATGTACGAGTTCGCCGAATTAATGTTGCTATTTCCATAACTTGAGATAACCAATTTTTTCTTTCAGAATGAAATGGAGACTTATTGGCTTTCTCCTTCTCAACACTCTTGGCACAGTGATCAGTCATTGTTCGCCGATGGATAGAAAGATTATAGCTCATCCGTGTCATGCCGTAAAACCTTGTGTCAATTATTGTAAAAAGAAGGTAATGCCTATTTTCTTCACGTTTATTTTGCTGACGGTCTCAGAATTTTTGCGTGGGTGTAAACTAAACCTTTTGAGCTGGGGAGCGTGGTTCACGCAACGCCTTTAGAAAAGTTCTCATGTTTTTCATGTTCTTCACAAGGTTACACTCAAGTAAATTTTTTGCTTAATATAGTGTGCTTGCACTGAAGGTGGAATGCAATAAAACTTGCGCGCGAACAAGTAGCCACGCTAGTAATGCCAACATTTTGCGCGCGCAAATGGTCGGCGTCACAGGCGTAGCCATTTCTTCACGCGCAATTTTTACCGCATTTCACCTACAGTGCAAGCACGTATCAAGCGGAAAATCTACTCGACTCTAAGTGGAAAAAATTTTTGCAAAGCTGATTTTTATATTCGAATATGTAACGAAATCGAAGTTTTAAAACACACCGATGTTTGAGAAGTATAAGATTTTCGGGTCGAATAATTCCCAAGCCGCCGTTTACCAATCAAACACTTAAAGGCACCGTCCACCCTAAGTTGAGGATGTTGAGCTTTTGGCAGCATATAATAGTAGGGCCCTCTATCAATCTAATGCCCAAGTCGCAGCGCAAAGTGCCGCTTCGGAAGCGAGAAAATCGCTTCGGAATAGCGAAGACGCACGAGGACCCCTATCCATGTCCGCCCTCTCCCATCCATGCTCGCCCATGCGTGCGCGCCAATCCAATCACCATTCCGGAAAGCCGGCTTGTGGGCTCTCCGGAACGGGGATTGTCGGTCTTCGCGGATTCTCGACTTCTTATTCATCAGGGACATAAGAAGGCCCTGAAATGACAAAAATGTGAAAGTCGAAACTGGGTGGACAGTGCCTTTGAACTCACAAAAGTTGCAAAAATGTATCCTCTTTCTAAAAAACATACTTTCTTTCCGACCTAGTTTTTGTAATGTTACCGCGATGGCTTTTAGAGCAGTCTTAACGTCAAGTCATAATACTCTCAATTTTTGGAAATTTTAATCTGGCATTCTGAAAAAGTGCTGGTAAATGCTATATAAAAACTTTCACCACATTATAGTAATCTCAGATTATAAATCAAGTTTGAAAGTTTCATTATGGTCTATTGAGGATAGCGACAGCCTATAGAGCACATGTACCGCGTGCGCGTACCAACTTCGAAAAGCTGTTTTTTTAAGGAAACTTGATCATCTGTTCGACAAGTGATCAATGATGCACTGGTGCAAATAAGCTTCAGTTCAAAAAAATGCAAAACTTTGTTATTTCTGCTGTGCTTGCGTGCTCCGTGACTTAATCTTCGAGATCTCCAAGGAATCAGTTTTGTATTTAATACTTCAAGCAACAGATTGAATGGGCCGTAAAGCGCCATCGCATGTATGAGTACCGCTTCATTTGTCTAATACTTAATCTTCTCGACAGTTGAAAACGTTGTCAATATTGGCCGAAATCTGAGCGGATGGAAATTATGGTTATTTTACCAGTTTTCAGTATGCGTTCGCAAGTTTATGGTTCGCAAAGGTGTATTAAAAAGAGCTGCATGGATTCGTTTTAATGCTCGTAGATTCGTCATAGATTTAAAGTCGTTCAAAATATCAATAGAACTTTCGAGACAAAATTATGTTTGCAACAGGCCAGTGATGGGGATGTATTAGATTGTCAAATAGAATGTTCACTTTATCATTGTAAAGATAGGAATTTTGAAGGCGGTACGATTTACCCTAAGAAACGCTTGTTTAGTTCAACTCTGTGGATTATAGATACAGAGTCTTTATAATTCTCGTATGTGTCGTATGTAATTCATATGACTTTTCAGAAATGTCGTCCTGGTGTCTGCATAAAAAAAGTGAAAGTGAAAGGCAAAACAGAAACGCGAAAATATTGCAAATGTTATTGTCGATAGACCCCTGTAAGTTTGGCAATCCAGACGCCTCAGTGTCGTCTTGCTGTCGTAAATCTTTGATTTGAGGTAAATAATGAACAATGAAATGATACTGGGTGTTTCGTCCTTCTTGATCTTTACAAGACCTATGTATTTGACATGCAGCAATGCATCTTTGAACAATGGCATCAATCGAGATCAATGTTGTACCTGATTGTTAGTTTTTTGCTGTGCAGTGATTATGTAAATACTTTACACTTTCGTAATTGGGTTTTTTGAAAGCGAATAAACATGAAATCGTCTACATAAGTGGGAAAACGCATGAGCTCTCACTGCCGTACATAAAGCCGGTCAAAAGGGATAATTACCTTGTTTGTCAAGGACTCGAAGCACCGTTTTGAGTACGATGTGGGTCTTCAAAAAAAATGGCAGGAAAATTTTTGAAACTAAAAAGGATCTTTCAAGTATTTCACATAATGACGGTGTTGCAAAGAGTCGAAAAATTCAAAAGATTGCTTTTAGATGCATTCGAAAGTTCCACCTTCAACAAGCATATCGCAGTGTTTGGACACTTTGGACTCATTTGAGCGTACGAAACCTTGAACTTGACAAGTGTTTCGAGTGATGATGTGGAAGGAGATGCAAGCTCTTTGATGGTTTTTTCGCTTTTCCGATGTCAAATCCAGATGAACAAAGAACAATTAGAGGAAACCATAGACGTCAAGAGAGGCACACTTCTACTCGGAGGGGTGACAGATATAATCTACCATTTGATTCAACTGGCTTGGCTTCGGAAAGGCAGGGCTTTGTGGCCTAATTAAGGCTAGCCAATGATCAGAGAGCACTCGTGCGAGAGGGTCGCAGGTGCGTCGCGGGCGCGAGCGGCCCTAATTAGGTCACTAAGCCCCGCCTTCCCGAAGTCAAGCCAGTTGAATGGAAGGTTACGCGTATCTCACCAATCTAACAGCTTTATTAGACACTGAGGTATTCACACAATGTACATTCGGTTCCATTGAATCAGATAAAGCCAAACTTCGAAATTTTAGCAATCGTGCCTATTGTAGTACATGATTACGTCGAGTTCTTGCACGCTGCCACCATCCTCAATCTGTGTATTGCTTAGAGCACAAAGTTCACGTGACCTGTAGAGGTGAGCTGTATCTATCACTATGGAGTAGCTGAAGCTAACTTACACATCGTATGCCACTGCTTCACATCTTACGCCCTGTAGACATCGCCAACAAAGACGACATATGTCGGTGCATTGCTCCAAAGAGTAGGCTTTTGTAATTCTGGTTTGGACCATTGGACGCATTGGACGAACCTCCCTGAGCAAATCATTTTTTTCAGACAGGGCAAAATTCGAATGCCTGGGTCAAATTGATGAACCTTATTCAAGCCATTTTCCATACGTTAGCTTATAAGTTAAGTTAGCTATAAGTTAAGTTAATCAACTGGTAGATTAACACTATGCACCGTTTCCGAGGACGGCTGATCCATCCGGACAGTCTGGGCTGCAGCTTACAGTCGAATGTCTTAGCTGAGACTGGAAACTCCAATAACGGTTCAAGATTTTTTTTGGAAGGGGGCAATTTCAGAAAAGAGGGGTATGATGTCAATGACGTTTATAGATTTTTTTGGAATGCTCCAGATCTTAGCTGGTTATTGTACCTGAATTCTGAAATAAAAGAGCCTGACGGCAGCCATCCCCCGAAAACTTTTATGAGATAACAATTTTGCAAAATTTTCAAAGCCAATTTTATTCTTTACCACTTACTTGCATAACTTTATAACTCATGTGGGCCACCTTCAAAAATGGAACGTTTTTTGAAAAATGGGGCCTTCCCACCCTATCACTCGTGGTCTTCTAAGAAGTTCAGGCTTTTTGATCAGACACACCTCCTCCGCTCCTTCTCCTCAGCAACTCTCACACCAACGAGAAAATGGATTCAAATTGGAAAGTGGCTAAATGAACTCACGTGAAGCATTCCCTCACTCTTGCGTCACGCAGACGTCTACCGTAACCCGCTACTGCAGCCGTAGCTGGTGGCGATTTTACTACGGCCTCATTGACATTGTAGGTATCGATCACCTAGGAATGGCAGTTGAACTTGTGATGATGTTTTTGGGACAAGTCCCACCTTGGCGTCGAAGCTAGTTGTAGGTTTTCCTGTCGTTGTAGATGTAGTCGAAGCGGCGGTGGTGGAGGTCGTAATGACGTCTTCATGATTTTGACTGGCTACCGTATCGGAAGGTGCCTCATAACCAGAGAGCTCGACTATGGTATGTAACTGAAAGATAGTGTAACATTTAGCTTCCGGGTAGAACCGCATACCTACCGGCTTCTTGAACACTTTGCTGGATTTACCCAAACCGCTGAGATCTTGCGCGTCGGCAGACGAGGACGATAAGGATTGTTCAGTTTTTTGGCTTGCTGGGGCCTCCTAGAGAGTAACCTTTACCAAAGAAGAAATATTTAGGACGATGGTAATCAAAACAGTGTTGGTTCCCGACTCATGATTATCACACATCATACCGCAGTTGTAGGTGCCTGCGTCTCCTGTGTCGTACTCTTCGGAACAGTTTCCGGCATACTCTGGAATCTTATCAATTAACCGAACTTCACGCACGAGGAAGTGACGTCTACAGTACACCTACAATATCAATCACCAAAGCACTTACCTTTAGTTTTTTCATATTTGCGCCACTGTTATTGAGACAGGTATTTTCTATGTATACCGCTTGATCGTCTTCAATAAATAGATCCGGAATGTCTACACGTGACTGTGACGCGATAATGCACTCCTAAAACTTCAACAAATTTGAAATTTGTCAACTCCTAGGAGATCAATCGTGCAGTTTAGTGAAAATTTTGCAAATCGCAAGCGGTTACAAGTGACTTTTTCTGCTTGATGGAATGGTTTTTGGAATTCCTTGATCTATTAGGTTGCCCCCAAATGAAACCGTATTGATAAATTAATCAAACTGCCCTAGTTTCCCTAGAAGACTTAGGTACCATTCGATAGAGCGAAGCAAGCTCTACGAAGAGATTACCAGAGATATATCCGGGTCAAGTTTGGAGCGGATATCGAAGAAATTTATCACTCGAAAGTTGGATTTTTTGCGAAAAGGGATTCCTGCGGCCCTCAAACTTGTTCATTACATAGAAGATACATGGTGGTACTCAAACATGCCGATTTTCGCGCTTAAAAAGCGAGAAAAAATAGTCTAAAAATGGCTAACTCTGCTCTCAGCCTCTCTCACATATACCATTGTATGCTACAAGCCTTATTAAGTATAACCTTAGAATTTCACCTATGTTCGGGCTTTGGTAGTCGAGAAATACCATGCTTAAAATGATAACCAGAAAAGCGACATTTTTGCAAATTTGAGCCATTTTTATTTGTCAATTTTGAGCCCCGGGAAAAATCCATCACATACATTATTGGGTACTTCTATTAGGTCGTTCCGAAAGTAATGTCGCTTTTTTCAAATGAACGCCACATTTCATGGAATCAAGATTTTCAAGAGGTCTCAGGAGCATTCGATGTAGCATTTCATCCTCTTTCTAATGGTTGTAATTTCATTGCATAATTCTCATTGAACTTTCGAAAAATTAACAAAATCTGCGACTTATGCTTTGTGCCGTGGTCAAGTTCGGCTATTTTTCTAAATTGCAGATAAATAGAGCAAACATTATAGGACACAAAATAATTTTTTTCTTTTCCTTAGCTTGCTTCTTAGAGTTTCTGGAATCAGTTTTAAAATGCCATCAAATTCCATATTTGGTCAACTCAAACCTCACAGAACAACAACCGGCTAGCAACTCGGGTCTCATTCGACGCAGCTTTTTCTCCTCTTTTTACCAGTTGTTTTTGGCTTCCGATTCATCAAGTTTCCCGAGATAAAATCATCATAATTCAGGTTTTCCAGGGCGCCTCCGGCTGTGTCCGGAATTTCCGAAAGTTGCTAATCTGAAGCGGTAAACACTCATTTGCTTTGTAAAATCAATATAAAACCGTAATCCATCTTTGTAAGTTTCAAAATCCGAAGATTTCTTGGTGTTTGATGCATTTGAGTCTGAGACGAGCCTGCTAAGATTCGATGCTTCCATCAAAAAATCTATATAAAAACTATGACGAGATTTGAAAAGTAGAAAAAAGTTGTGCTGTTTTCCGTAGGGTTTGCTCTATCCATACGTAACTTGGACTCCTTCCGGGGGTTGTTATAAAAATTTAGAAAAATTGTGAAACTTGACCCTCTCAAAAAGCATGGGTCGCAGATTCCGATAATTTTTTCAGAGGTTATTCAATTTTATGCGGTAATTATATAATCATTAGAAAGAGAATGAAATGCTGCATCAAATGCCACCAGAATCTCTTACATATCTTTGTTCCATGAGATGTGGCGTACGTTTGAAAAAAGCGACATTACTTTCGGAACGACCTAATATATGTCTGCTGCATAATGACCAAGTAGGGGGTCCGTAGGAATTTTAATTTGATTCTTAGGATAATTGAAAAAATTTTGATTTTGCTCCCAAATTTCACTTGAATCATCACAACTTAGACGGATCTTTAATGGTCATCTTGTAGAGCTTGCTTCGCTCTATCAAAGGCTGAGTCCGCTTGAGAAACGAAAGCACTTTGATTTATTTACAAATACGGTTTACTCCTGGGACAACCTAATATTTCTCGCAATTTCCAAAGTTTAGCATCGCTTTCTCTCTCAGTTGAAAGTTTTCTTTTTCGATCATATACACATAACGTTTACTTTTACGTTTCCATCCAACTGGAATAGCCTCATGAAAAGACAGGGGTGTAAATCTTCTTATACTCATTTTCTTCAACTATTTTATTCCACTTCGAATTCACTAAAGAAGTGCCCTTTTTCTGAGAAGCAGCAAAATTATCTTGCTCACACTTCTCTCATTGCAATCCGTCCTTCCTACTCTTTGCAGCATGAATGTAAATCTTTTTGCAACTTGGTTTGCTTACCTTGTCCTTTGCGTAGTAGATGGCGCTTTTGCAAATGATATCGCTAACTTCTTTACTTTTCTGACAACGCTTCTTGCACTGTTCCAGTGAAGTCACGTCTTTTATCAGCTGATCGACAATACCGATCAATACCTATAATTTATACAAATACAGCTTATAAACTGAGTAAACCATTCACGCTTTGCTAACCTTGCCTTTGATGATCTCATAACAATTGTCATCGAATGATGAATCTCGTTTTGATGATACTAATGTATCTGTGCACCGAGTATTACTTGATACCGTAACATACCGTAATTCCTTACCGTAACATGTCCTATGATAGTAATCTATAGCTTCCACTGGGAAAAATTGTGATTCGCTTGTGTTCATATCTTCCGAGTTCAGATAGCATCGTTTCTTTGCGGCATGATACATAAGTGACCTACATGATTTCGAATCTGTTCAAAAATCAATTATCGATCTATCGAACACACCTGCATTTTTCCTTGTCTGCTTTAACACAAGCATTTTGACATTCTGTTAGAGTAATGTCGTTGAGTGTCACAACTACCGTACCAATCAGCGTGTGATTGGCCACACGCTCAAAACAGTCTTTGGTAGCAGCCCAGGATAGGCAGGGTAGCAGAAGGAAGAAGAACAGCATATGTTCGTCACGAAATATAATACACTGCAAACGTAAACATTTTTGAAGATGTGAAATCATAGATGCTTTAATTTTTTTGTAATTTGTTAAACACTGATGCCAGAGGAATTATTACGAGGGGGAGAGGGGGGAGCCGAGAAAAGCAGGGGCCATCCCATGGAAATTTGATATGCTATGTAAAATTCTATGACCTATAACCTTAGAATTCCAGAGCAAAAGAATTTTTTCACTAACTATCCTTTGCTTCAACTGACTTCGCGGCTTGGAGGCGGGGCTTTGTGAGCCAATTAGGGCAGCTCGCGCCCGCTACGCAGTCTGCGTCTCTCTCGGCGTGCTCTATGATCATTGTCCAGACTTAACTAACTCAGGAAGCCCTTGCCTTCTAGCCGCCAATCCAGTTGAATCTTAGGGTAACTATTTCAGATTTGCAAAAATATTAGGTTCCTCCGAAAGTAAACTTCTGGAATTTTTTTAGACGAGCATAACTCTCGCAGAACAAAGATAGATCTTCAAAGCTTTTGGTGCAGCTTTTCATTCTCTTCCGAAGCTTGCCTCGTTACAGTTTATCCAATGAGCCCATCTACGATCCATGGTTTCCAAAATAGCTAACCTACTCATTTTTTTCCAAAGTTTCTATACCTAATGTCCTAAGCAGTTAACCGCTAATAGAGCAAACGCCACGCAAAACTACTTTTTCCCTTTCTAAGACTTGTTCCATTTTCTTTGATTCTCCAGAAGATTTATTCTATTAACCTTATTATAATATCGAATCTGCGCAAAAGAGATTGTTTGGTAGGTTATATAAGAACATGGTGTCTTATTATGTCAACCTTGAGAAAGAAGGCTTTGGGCATTTTCTTATCATAGCTGTCATCCGAACGAGGAACCCCAAAGACAATTTAGGCTTTGCCCATTTATTTTGCAACTATTGAATAACGAATATCCCAAAGACAGCCCCTTCAGCTTGCCAATCAATATCTCTTGAGCGACATCGGAGTTGACAGATTCTTATCTTTCAAAAAAAAGTTTAGATCTAATTCGAGTAATAGATAAGCGGCTCGACAAAGTTGGGGTAATGTCGGAGACAAAAGGCACCTTTTAATTCAACAGGCTTGGCGGCTGGAAGGCGAGGCTTCGTGACTTAATTAAGGCTAGGTATGACAAGAGAGCACGCGCGCGGGGAAACGCAGATTGTGCCGCAGGCGCGAGCGGCCTTAATTAGGTCACAAAGTCCCGCGTTCCAGAAGCCAAGCCAGTCAATCAATGGTTAAGAAAGGAAATTGTTGCATTTTCGAGGTGCTAAAATTTGAAGAAAAAAGTTGATAAAATTACTGAGATTCACTAATCAGGAAGCTCAACAAAATTTGGGTCTTGGTTGGTTTCGTAAACAAGTCTCTACAAAAAAAGAACCCGTGTCGAATGCGAGTTTGAAGCTATGAAAATTTATCGATAAATTGACTTTGCAATTGAAATCTTGATACTCATATAGCATGAAAATTGTCCCATGAAAATTATCGGTTTGAAGTTGAAATCATGTTTAGTTTTGAAGATCCATCTGAGAGTGGGTCACAACATGACTATTTTACATTTGAAGAGAAGGTTCTCATAAATCTCTTTTTTTTTTGAATAACGAGTTGTAGTTAATCGGTATATAGGATGTCCCAAAAGTATGTATACATCGTTAATATCTCTCTTCTGCCCAACTTCAGGCACCATTCTGTAGAGCTAGCTTCAGCTCATCTTTGTATACGGAGCGAATCCCCGATTTTTTCGCTTTACTCTAAAGTAACGGTAGGAACATTGGCCTTGTATCATCGTAATTAGTCGTTTTCAAAAAAGTTTTCCAAAAATTTTAGAAAGTAGGGTATCATAGAATTCTCGCGCGCTGATTTCGTTATTCAACTTTCAAGAGTTGTGAAGCTTTTCAAATGGTGTAATCACAAGTTTAGCGAGCATTGTAAGGACATCCATTGCTGTTCACCTGGCATAAGTTATAAAGGAAGCATTGCGGTAGTAAATTGCAAGGTTCATTTTGGCTTAAGCGACTCTAAGTAGAGTGGTTTAAGGGAAGAATACTTGGTGACCACGGCCATTCGAAATGCGATGTATACCATAAGATGCATCTCAAAACGCTGATTCCGAAGCTGCCTCCCTATCTGCGAAACGGTCTTCTGATGGAAGTTATGAACCTTTTTCCGCCAAAAATTTGCGTACTTCCGGGTAGTTAAACACCACATTTGTTCTGGTTTACTGTTTAATGCTATTAAAGAGAATCTCAGAGGGAGTATTGTTGTATCTATAGCATTTAGATCGTATTCTGCAACCAAAAAAGAAAAGAAAATTTTTTATTCATGACTTTGACCCCGCAGAGCTCATTTCATTCTTGAAGAAGTAATCATAACTCCATCCAGGTTATCGTTTCGCAGTATGGAAGACAGTTTTTGAACAAGCATTGGAAGTCACATTTTTCGATGTACAAATCAATATAAGTGACCACTGTCAACGTATACATACTTTGGGACATCCTGTATACGTATCATCTACTTACAAAAATAAAATCTTGAAATTGTTGAAATTTTTCCGACCCAGTTTTGGCAACATTTTAGGTTGGTTCATTGAAAAGCTGTAACTTCCGAAGTGTCGCCATATTGACCCTGTCACTCCCAAAAACTCAAAGAAAATCTAGAGATGAGAGATGAATGAGAATTAGGACATAAAAAAATGGAGGTTAAGGTTCATGAGCAGAAATTTTTGAATTATTTTGATACCTGGCACGTTGCTAGGAAGAAAGAGAGTTGCTTGGAACAGTGTCGAAATTATTCAGAGATGTGCGCTGAAACAAGTTCGCAACATGCGTCTGAATCTGGATTTCCAAACCGAATATGCGTCGGCTACGCTCATAGAGTTGCGTCAGGCACTTGCAACTCTTATTTGCATAGCCCTAAGCCGGTATTTGTGAATAAGCTGTTGAGGTGTTATTAGCTGGAAAGTGTATGTAACGATTTCATTTTACTCTTCTTCCTGCCAAAAAGGCATGCTAGAGCCTAGTGCTTTTTTGTGCTTTCAGTAATACAGTATTATGCCTTTACACCTCAGCTCAAAAGTGGAAGGTTGTTCTTCGATATATGTTTATGAAGAATCCGATTTTTGGGTTTTTCAAAATTTTGTCGAATTTTGGCAAAATAAAGGTCTGCATTATTGAAGTTGTCAAACAGTGCCCTCGCGCTACCATCAATGCTTTAGGAACCCCTAAGTGAGAATTTTTAGACGATAAAGAAAAATTGAAACTGAAGTGGCATCAAAAGATTGCTTTTCAAGTTACTGTAATTCGTGTTTGTGAAGGTTGAATGATGTCATTGAGTTGTCTTCCATAATTTCATATTGTCAATGAGTTGCCCTTCCGACAAATCCGTCTGCCGAAGTCTCTAGAGTCTCTCAGAGGGAAGGGAGGGGGGGAGAGATTGTTCAAAAAAACTATGCAACGACCTAATATCTAATAGTAATTCTATTCGCTGATATGTGCAACTGCACAATTTCCAGGACAATGGCTATGGATCGTAGGCATTTCGGGTAACAAGTGCGTACACTTAGTTACTCTCTTGAACTGTTGTGTCTGAAAGAGCGTACAAATTGAGAAAAACAGCAAAGGAAGGCTTTAAGACCAAAAAAGGTCTTCCTTTGAATTGTGCATTGTATATATAGGGACACATATTAGCCGTAATTAAAGTTAGATAGTCATTCTGAGAGTTTTCGAGACTTTCACACAATTTTGTTTCGCTCTTATGATGAGAATATAAAAAGGTCGAACCTTCGCTAAACTAAATAAAAAGTCTTCTTCCCTCTGAACAGAAAAAAACCATCTTGTGGACCCAAAAAGACGCGCGTTGTTATATTAGGGTCAACGGTAAAAAATGGGGCACCTTGATTTTTATTACATTTTGAGATTTTTTGTTCTCACCAACAACAAGCAAGCTGCAACTCAAACTTGGTTTACATAACCGACCTTCGCCTATTATTCTGGCAACGCGTTACCGCTCCTCTCTCATAACAGTACGCGTGGCGTAGTGGAGAGCTCCGACAGGGTTTTTTTGAACAACTCTCAATCTTGCACTGCTATACCGTAAAGTCGTAAAGCAAATGACATACCATTCGAAAGAGCTTTTCATGCTCTTTCAAATGTATGTTAAACGCATGCAATTTCTTTTCAATTTTAGAAAAAAAACGAAAAAACCTGAAAAATAGCTATTTTCGGCGCAATAGAAAGCCAAAAATCATGTTTTGCCTATATTTTCCGAAAATAGATAAAATCTGAGACAATCCGCACATGGATGGACAGAGCGTTAAAAGCTCTAATGGTACCTACAAAACATGCGTTCACCTGCAAGGAACTGAATAACGCATATCTTCGTTCTCGAAGCTGCTAATGACCATATCTCCTGCTTTGGAAGTTGAGGCCACCAACCGTCGTGGGTTTGGTAACTGTCTCACCACCCACTCCAGCAGTGGTACTTTGGGTGGTCTCACATGTTTCACTGCGCAGATATTGCTCAAATTTCATATTGTCGAAGTGATTAACTTTGCATTTCAGCAAGTATAAAAATTATAAATTATACAGGGTGTCCCAAAAGTAAGTACACACTTTGCAATCGTTAATATCTCTCTTCCCATTGTGTCCTTTTCCACCATTCAAGCACCATTCTGTAGAGGAGGCATAAACTTAGATTTCCAGTATCAAGCGAATTATTGATAACTTTTCATTACTGTAAGATTACTGTAGGAACTTCGACAAGGATTTTAGGCCATTAGAGGGCCATAATCAGCCTCGAAACGAAACCAAACAATCCGAAAACTCTTACACTATGGGAATGGAAGTCGCTGATTTCAAATACGAAATCTCCACTTTACAGTGATGCTTCTTTCCAAAGTTATCCCACGTAAACCGTAATAACCGAATTAGTATTTGTCAGAAATGTGATTACACTGCCAAAAAAGCTGAAAAC